TTTATTGGCATGTTAAGACATTTAGTTTTAAGGAAAGCTACAAGTTCAAAGTAGTTTTAAATATTGTAGTTAATAAAGTGTGCACTATTATTTGTAAGTAGTCTGAAGAAGCGATGTTCCTAACCATGCATATCTATATCTCAAAACAACAAACAAAATACTCCATAATTATTCTATTAGGAACAAAATACAATTTTTATCTTGCGAGATAAAATCTCAGTCTCACATTCTTCTATTCAAAAATTATAAAATCAAAAATAAATCTCAACTTTTTGTTTGATCTTAAAGATGATCACACTAACATTTAATGAAATATTTTTATTAAATTTTCAATTGAACCTTAAAGTATAACTGTTCTTATTATTTAAACATGATTAGTTCAAATAAAACATGTATAGTTTAATATATTGTATAGTAATAATAAATTTTCCATTAATTAATAAAAATTCTGTTTTTAGTAAAAATTGCACTGTTGTATGATAGATGAGGTAAACATTTTTTATATACTACAGAATCACTGTTATTTTTTTATTTTCATTCTTATGAATTAAAGAACAATAATCAAATGTATTATTTAGAAACAAAGATATTAACAGTAATTGCTTGTACAGTTAATTTTTAATTTTGAAATGAATAAGTGATTTTAAAAATAACTTAAGTGACTATTTCTTTATATAGTTCAATTAACTTTTTCTGTTTGTCCTTTAAATATTCCAGTTATCAATAACATTTTAATAAAGTTTACAAATAAATTTTAACTTATATCATAATGAAATTGAAGATTTTCCATTCATAAATTATTATTTGTAATAAACTTAAAAACTTGGATTGGAAATTAGTTTCTAGGTTACCTAATTAACTTTATTTTTAAATTTGGGTATTTGAGTAGTAGTTAAACTTGCTTAATCCATTAGAAAATAATTTTACTTAATTTTTTCAAACGCACTTGGAATTAATTTCAAAATTTGTAAGATACACCACTTAATTTAGGTAAAATTATTTGTTTTATAACTATTGTAATGAGTGATCAACTAATATTGCTGTATTCTGCTTAATTTCCACATTTTCAGTTTACTGTTCATTTATTTTTTACTTGATGTTTGTAGATGTAATTTTTCAGTACCCATTCTTTAGGAAAGACTCTAAAAGAGTTAGTAATTTGTTTATAACTAAATTACTTTCAAGGTGCTGTCATCAATTCATTAAAAATTATTAATAATAATAACCTATTATTAATATAGTCACCTAAAAAGGTAATTTTGGATAATCCATTTTAAAACTGATCAGAAAAAATTGTACATCATATATTTATATTATATAATAGTAATATGACACCTATATTATTCTCTTTTTAATTTTTTTTTTTTTTTTAATGATATTTCTGGTGGGAAAATGTATACCTTTACCCACAGTTCCATATTTCAATACTGGAATCAACTTATTTACTGTATGTACATATATTATAAATTTTTAAATTAGAAATATCACTAAAATGACTTTACTCAAAAATGCAGAAATTGGAATTAGTCATTCTGTCAACTGAAAGGCTCATATATTTCAACTAGCATTTGTCATATGTTTCTAAATGTCATTTGTACTCACATTTATATTGTAAGGGATTCTTTGTTAAGTACCAAGTTGATGTTTGAAAGTTTTAATGAAATTTGATAAATTATAAACATCATTAACATTATTTATTTTTAGGTATTAGCAAAGTTTTAATGGAAATGTAGTTTTACTTTTAAAATATAAAACTTTTAAAGTTTTTGAATGACAAGAACTACTGAATATTGATGTGATGTTAAATTAATGAGATGGTACTCAGAATTTCAATTCAATTTCATTTTAATTTTTTTTTATAATGTTTTTAAAATTTTCCCACCTTCAACGCTAAAATTACAACTAATAATGATATTAAAAATAATGATGTTTAAGTTACGCCTGCGGGGAGAAAAAATAAAATGGAAAATTTTAAGGGACTGAAGTGATAAATGTATTAGAGTAGTTAAATTACACTTTTCATCATGAAATATATCGTTGTGAGATTAGAAAAAAGTTATATAACCAGTAAATAATCTATTCCCCTACCAGTTTACATCTTCTTCATCGGATCTAGAAATTTTTGAAGACATTTTTGCTGAATTAAAATATTATTAAGAAATTATTAAAGTTTCTGATTAAAATTATTAGATTAGATTTTTTTAAACAATGTTTAGCCAAATCCTTTTATTGGTATTTTGGCCAGTATTTATTTTTTAAATTAAAAAACTTTCATTTAAGCATTATAGTTTTAATCTTTAATTATTTTTTTTTAATATAAATATTTAAATGTAAAAACTAGACTGCTTATTAACTTAATGATTACTAAGTAAATAATCAAAAAGTAGTGTACATAATTTTGATTATGTGCTATTTTGTTAGATGTTAATAATTATGATTTTTTAGTAGTTATGTTTATAAAATGTTTAATTGTCAAACAGGAAAAATGATGGGTACATAAAGTTTTTTAAAAAAAGAGGAGACTTTCTTGATAAATGGTATTTTTTTTTTTCAGGTGATAAAATAAAACTTATTATTTCTTTTGATTGTTGTTAAAATCATAGATAAACTGAGACTTAAATATACTACTTTTCAGGAAAAATTGTGTTTTCCCCAGGAAAAGAAAAACAACTATGAATATAAAGGTAAAAATTAAATTTTACTTTAGTAATGTATTTATAAAATTATTAAATTACCTTTGGGATTGTTTGTGAGATGGTTATCATGACTAAATAAATTCATGAAGTCATCCTGCGTTTCAATCAAAAACACACATTTAATAATATTATATAAACATTTATTTTATTATTTAGTTATCTCAAATTCATAAAATATTTATCATTTTTAGTGACTTCAGCTTCTCCTCCTCTCCAAAAAACAATATATATATATATATATATATATATATATATATATATATGTGTGTGTGTGTGTATACATATAATGATAACAAAATAATGAAATTTAGTCATTTCTGAAGAATGTTAAAAATTTTTATTTCGATCATAATGAAAATAAGCGCTAAATTATAAATTAATAATTCTTTTTATTTTTTTTTCACTATTACATTGTTAACTCCTTTTGTTTACATAAGTATATATATATATATATTATATAAAAGTTGGGATTTAATAATGCTAATTTATCATTAGTTAATTAATAGTAATTTTTTAGATTATTATTTTTATATTTATAAAAATATTTATTCAACCAATAATTAAACAAATAAAAGACACTTTTTTAAGTAGAAAAATTATCATTAATTCAAAATAAACAGCTTTGTTTGTTCTTGTATAGTTGCTTGTTATAATCCAGCAAATTAATATTCAAAATTAAATTTCATATTTATGACATCATATGATACCTTGTCTGATAATTCTGTGACTTAAACATTGGTTTAAATCTATTTTAAACTTATTTAGTGATGATGGATTTCTTGCTCTATTTAATCAATATTCTTGTGAAACAAGAGGTTTTTTAACTACAAAAAAATTAAGACAAAAAATTAATAATGAAGTTATATGATGCCATCAATATAAGATTGTAATTTAACAAAAAGTTGAACTATTTATTTATTCAATAAGAAATTGAGCAATATTTGAGATTAGTAATTCATTAGTAATATAATATGGTAAGAGCATCTAACATAGTATTTTTGTATTTAGTATATAAAAAGTTATTGTAGATTGAATGCATTATTTTTTATTTTTTTATTTTGTACATTTGTCAATATATTAATAAAACTTTGTGTGAGAGGAGTGTAAAATTGATGTGTTTGAACCCTTAAGCATTTCATTGATATTTATTCATTATATATATAAATATTATTGTTTATTCATAATTCTAGGCTCAATTTGTTTTTACTTATACAAACCTGTTGAATGATGATTACAAGTCTACAAATCTCAAACAATTTCTAAATGATTATTTGTTATTATTTTTCAGTTAATGTTATGGTAAGTATAAACCTATAACAAAAATAAACTCTTTTATTTATTTACAGTCTACATTTAATTTTTATTTTAATTCTCTTTATTACATAACTGATACCTAACTTTTTTAATTATTATTGATCAGTAAAATGCCTAACAAAAAAAAAACTCATCCGATTAAAAAAAAAAATTTAATTTTTTGCGGTAAAGTCTCAGATAAATCATTCTAGATATTAGATATTAATCTCCAATAATCTATTTCTTTATATTGAAATCACACTATAGATTTACAGAACTGTCAAATATATTATACTAAATTAGTTACACAATGCTATTATAAAAATTTCTATAAGTTATTTTTAGCTAGTTTTAGTTAATTGTAAATAGAGGTGAATTGTACTAGTTTTTATCACTAGTGGATTCAAGAGAGGAGCTTTCAGGTTAATGGAAAATAGAAAAATATACTTTTTTTTTTTCATTCATCCATATTTTTTTCTAGGTATGAATGATTGCTTTCAGACTGAAGCCACCCAAAATAGAAATTTGTTTTTCATTAGTTCATATTTGTTACTGCGTGTCATCAAAGTTGAATACATAAACACAGTTATATATTTTTAAATTATAGTGCATATACAGCGACAGAATATAACCATGTCTTATAAAAAGAATATTAAAAAATTATCTCTAAAATTATTATTGTTCGAGTAATAAAATTTATCTTTTTAGTTGGGCTTCAATAATCATTTGAACATCATTCTACAAAAGTATTTAGTTTATTTTCCTTCCAAAATAATTATTGTTATATGTATTTAAAAAAAAAAAAAAGCTTTTGGACTGCAGCCCACTTTATTTTTATTTAAAACTTGAATTGAAACTTTAATGAAATTAATTTTATATAATTTGAAAAGGTTGAAGATATATATTTTGTCATCTATAATCAACTCAAGATAGCAGCACTTGCTTGATCAGCGACTAGCGAGCTCTGTGAACCACCATCCGAACTTCTGGACCCTTGGACCTTGAACTGATGCGGATTGATAATACCGGCATGTTCTGTTGTGCTAATGCATTAGCTGATGAAAGTTGACATTTATCATTAGGAATAATTTTAAAAATGTTCAGGAAAACATTGAAATCAATCAAATATAAAGATGGAGATTTGGAAATTTTGGATCAACTTTTATTACCTGCTAAATCAGAATATAAGAAGATACTTGATGTAGAAGAGGGATGGGAAGCAATTCACAACATGCATGTAATTATAATAGTTATATAATAGTATATTTGACGTGATATGCGTAGTTAGTCTTACACCAATAAAATAATAATGATAGGAATATTGCTTTATTATAATTGATTTTTAAAACATTTTTTTTTCATACTTTATTTTTAACACCTTGAATCTCACAGGTACTTCTTCGTTTCTTTCCAATTAGTGGAAACTAAAAGAAATTATGAAAAAATTATACTTACTTTTATATGACTTATAGGAACACAACTTATTTTTGTATTGTTTTGTTTACGTTCCTAAAGAATGAATTGTTTTGTATAAAAATATATAATCATGTTAGTAGTTCTATAAAATTACCATAGCAAAAAAAAAAAAACATCCACAAAGAGATAGATTTAGTGCTTGTGTGCTATCAAGTTGATATAGTTCATTTGGAATTTATTAATTAATTTAGGTAAGAGGTGCACCAGCTATTGCAATCGTAGGATGCCTCAGCGTCGCTGTAGAACTTTATCGTAACTCTTTTGATTCAAAAGAAGAACAACATGATTATCTTACAAAAAAGTTTGATTATCTCGTAACAGCTCGACCCACAGCTGTAAATTTGATGAAAGAGGCAGAAATATTAACTGAATATTCCAGTGAAATGGTGGTGAACAGTGAATTGTCTACTGAAGACATGAGGATTTGGTAAATATTTTTCATATCTTTGTTCATTTTTCAGTTTAAATGTTACCTAATTGTTTATTTAAATTCATTCTGTTATAGTTTTATATTTAAATATGTTATTTTGTACAAAATCGCTTTTAATTGTGGCCAGGAATTCCAAATTTTTATTTTTATTTTTTTTAATTAACAGTTTTGAAACTAAGTTATCATGAGATAAAATCATTTATTTTCAAACAAGTTTAATCAGATGTAATAAATGAAATTGCGTGAAGTCCGAGAATCATCAATGTTAGTTTTTACTTTGATGTGTGATATGGGATTTCATGATCACACTATAAATGGAATTCCGAGGATGGTTGAGTGTGTCCGAACGTTGACAGAGGCGACCGAATCTTAAGGTTAGGTGGTCTGTTTCTCCTTTCTGAGTGGAAACAAGGCCTCAATTTTAACTGAAAAGGACCAGTTGACAGCTAATGGAGGTTGTAAATGCTGACATAAGTATACAAAGTTATAACGTGAACACATCAATACTGAGCCGTTCTCGAAATTCTACTTATAGCAACACTTTTTAGTAGTACCAGCTGTGATATTTTATTTGAATCCGTTTGATTTGTTGTTTTCAGTTTAATCAAGGCAATAGAGGATCTACTAAGTAAAGACATAAATGATAACAAAGCTATTGGAACTTTTGGAGCAGATGAAATCCTGAATGGTCAGGATAGTCCATGCATTATACTGACTCATTGTAACACGGGCTCGCTTGCAACAGCTGATTACGGAACAGCTTTAGGAGTCATCAGAACTCTTCATGAGAGGTCTTTAATTGGTACGGATAAGTGTGTTTATTAATTGAGGTGATTAGTTTCAAAACTGGCTCAATCTGTTTTCAAAATTTTACAAGAAATACCAAAAAACGTCTTAGAGCCATTTTTTATGGTTTACATTTACTATATGCTACTGAGAAGAAGATAAGTCTCTAAGTGTTTAAGGTATATTTCCATTTTTTTTTTTTTTTTAGTATTTCAAAGTTACTTAAAACTTAAATTTGAAGCCAGCTAGTTTTGAAGCTATTTTTGTATACTTTAAAATTTTTTAGTGGATACGCCCCATTGATAGGAGTAAAAGTATTACTTATTTTTTGTTTAATGTTGTGGAGAAATATTTTTAATCCTTTGTAATAATACATTTTTACCATTTTAATCCCTATGTTCAATGTATCATTCTATCTCAGTCTTGTGGGAATTTAGTTGTTTATAGTTTTATTGTGATTAAGTTAGATATTTTTCATGTTTTATCTTTAAAAAAAAAAATAGCATCTACTGAGAGTTTTTTGTGATTGAATGAATCTAAATACGCAAATAATTAAGATAATAGATATCTTACTAGGCAGCTATCTGCAGTTATGTAGTGGGAGAAGGTCAACCCCGCTTGGCCTTTAGCTCCGCCCACATGATTCATTTAAATTGTTTAAAAATTACTCTCAATTTATTTTCCCATGACTTCACCTATATTAAAAATTTAATTCCTAAAAAAAAAAAAAGCAAAATATATTTAAATTTTGTGATTGATTATTATTAACCAACAATGAAATTATGATATAAAATTAGATTTGTGCAAATTGCTTTACAATGAGCCAAGTTTTTAACAGCTTCACAGCGTCCCAATACAGGATATAAATTATCTCAGCAGATCTCTTGGTCACCGCCTATATAATAATTGTGGTGGACTGTAGGGATGTCTTGTTTGTTTAAGAATTTCTGTCTGTGGATTCATGTTGTAGTTCAGTCTTTGGTGAAAGTTATAATTTTCTTTGGCAGTGTCTAAAATTTTTGGGATGTTTAAGTCCTTATGGATTATTTCATTTGCGAAATAGAACGACATAGAATTTCAGGTGGGTCAACTATCTTCCGCAACATTTTTGATTGAAAAGATTGAATTATTTTAATGTTGAAGGTTTTAGCAGAATTCCACAGTTCTATTCCATAAGTTAGTTTTAGTAAAACTTTATTCAGGTTTAATTTGTTAGTTAAAGATAATTTTGAACGTCTATCAAGTAACCTGGATAAAAGGCTATAACATCTGTTTAATTCCATATTGAATAGTTGACAGTTGCATTATAAAGGAAGGAGATGGTCGGGGGTGGTCGGTCATAAATAGGCTAAATAGTGGAAAAACTATCTTATTAAAATCAAATTTTTTGACCCGACTTTGCAGGTCTTCTCAACTCAACTCTGTTCTAAGTGAAACTCCTAGCTGAACACACCTCCCTGAAGAAGACCTGCAAAATCGGGTCAAAACGTTGGCTTTTAATGAGATAGTTTTTCTATTATTTAGCCTATTTATGACCGCAACCACGGACCATCTCCTTCCTTTGTTTAATTCCATATGTTTTTGTCTAATGTGAGTCCTCCATGTTAGTCTTTTGTGTAGATGAAAACCCAAGTATCTAATATTATCTGATGCAGGAATTTCAATATTGTTAAAATATATTTTGGGGGAAGATGTATGATTAAAAGTGAATACTACAGACACTCTTTTTTATTTTGCATCTTGTAGCCCAATCAGCAAAACCGTTCCGATGATTTTGAAGAGTGGTCGATGCTTGAACAGGATTTTTATATGAGCTACGAATTGCAGTGTCATCAGCAAAGTAGTCAGTATAGTGTCATTGTGTTGCAATAGGTCTGACATATTGTAAGGTTTCGTTCCCTTCGAAAAGTAAACAAACAGTTTCTTAATCAAATAATATTTATTTTAAACAATAATTAATTCCCAGGTTGGGTTGAGACAACTTACACACATTCCTCAAATATATAATACAAAGATATACATTAATTTTATATAACTTATTTATGAATTTCCATTGTTTTGTCGGGTTCTAATCTTGGCACGCTTTCGAACTGTCTATTTATATTTCACTCATCCTGTTCTGCAGTGAATCTTCCGCGGTATTGTATCCAACTTTCTCTTGTTCTATTATTTTCTTGTCTTCGTCAAGTTGTAGACACTCACTATGTTAACTAACATTTTCTTCTCTCCGATCCTCCTTACTAGCCGACTGGCTACCTTCTCCTTAACATCTGGAACTTGCTTCCTCCACCATCTGTAATTTCTTGTCCATTCCTGTCAGTAGCTCATGACGTCAGCACTTTCGCGCCACTATTCAAAATCACTATGTAATATTTAAATTACAATATATATGTAAAATAATATTGGCCCAAGGACACTATCCATATATATAAAATAATATTGGCCCAAGGACACTATTCTGAGGTAGTCATGCTTTAGTAGGCTTAATGTTAGAAAGTTCTGTTATTTTACTGTAAAATGTCTGTCTGCTAAATATGAGAAAAAATTAAATAGTAGATCGAAAAAATTACAGGTTTAAAAAATAAAAGGAAAATTTATATAAACAGAGGCTCCAAGATGATACTGCTCTAGGATACTTCTTACCTAGTTATTGTCTCAACTCCCAAACTATAATATAAGTTATTGATTTTTTCTTTTATCTTTTAGAAAAGGTGTACTGTACCGAGACGAGACCCTACATGCAAGGAGCAAGGCTGACAGCCTACGAACTTGTTTACGAAGGAATTCCAAGTACATTGATTTGTGATAGTGCTGTCGCTGCGTTGTTCAAAAACGCTAAAGTAACTGCAGTTGTGGTTGGTGCTGATAGAGTCGCAGCAAACGGAGATACAGCTAATAAAATTGGTACTTACCAGGTAATTTTTATTTGGTCAAAAATTATTTATTGATATCTTTAACTCATCATAGTCTCAGGTTAACAGTATTGGGAAATATTGTTTCTTTGTCAATGGTTGTGCAAGGAGGTGATCTGACCAAGATCACACTCAACTGCCAGGTTTTCCCCCTTAATCAGTTAAGAGTATTCACTTTATAGAGGCTGTGTGTGCCCTAGGACGGTTTCAAACCCAGAATCGATTCACTGCCGATGAAGCAGAATAAAGTAATTTATCTTCTGCCATCGTCAGCTGAATTCGGACCTTGATCTTTGGAAGTTTAGTGCCAAACCCTCTCCCCCTCCCCTAAAAAAAAGTGCGATTATGATAATTGTAAGTGGATAATGTTGGGATTTCACAAAGGGAAAATTCATCAAATTATTTACTAATTTAATTCTCTAAAAGTTTACTTGATGATTTTTTGGAATAAACGGCCGACAGATACCTAATTATTTAAATATGATATATCTAGAGTTTTTAAACTACAATAAATGTATTTAAGGTTATAAACATATCTATGAAATATTTTATATTTCAATTCTTCTTTCACACAAACAAGTACAGTGAAATATTATTTTAAACAATGGCATTGACTTGATTCAGTAGATTTTAAGTACTTTTTTTTAACTTCAAAAAAATTTAAAAGTTTACATTTAGTAAAAAAAATTTTACTTCCTCTTATTTCCTTGGAAACATGTGATTTACGTTAAATAATGTTGGTTTTCTGAAATTATTATCTATATTTTTTTTCGTCACTCTCCATTATCTTCTACAACTTTATTTATTTGATATTATTTTTTCTAAAATTCTCTGCTATATTATACGTATATCTTCTGACCATTATTTCCGGAGATTCATTTTCGACCTGGATAACCTTTTTTCTCCAGTTTCCAATTATCTCCATATTTAGCCATTTTTAATAGTTACTGTCAATAAAAGTGAGTTGTTTTTTTGTAAATCAATCATATTAAAGGTAATTTAGGGGAAGACGTATACAAACATTAGGTATTTATGCCCTGTAAAGTGACATCAATGAGGATAAGACCTAAATGATATTAAAGACCACTTAATTATACAATGACACACCGAGTTTAATCAAAATCGTTAGAGCCGTTTTTGAGGAAATTGTAAAAATGTGTTTCAGCTTTGATATAAAGTGGCATTTCTGGTTAGCCGATTTTAACGAAAAAGTTGCTGTCACATCTAAGGCATATACCTATCTTAAATACGTAATATCAGTTTCGTGCGACTTTTCATTTTTTAACTATCCTGCTAACACACACACAGACCATTTTGTAGGACTTGGTCATTTGGACTCAGGAAATCCCAAAACATGTATTTCTGTTGAAAACTAGATTGAAAAATTTTCATGATCGCAATACTTACCCTTACTATATATTTCATATATACGTAAGTGAAAGTAATAAAACAAGCATGACAAGTAAGCCTATGAGTTTGTTCATATTAAATAAAGAGCAGAAAAAAAATATTAGACACAACCATAGAAATAGAGAAATATAATTACATGAAAATGAACAAATACTGTTTTAATACTATAGTTGTTAAAACGAGTTAGAAATATAGGAATTGAATTATGGCTTCGCAATTTTTTTTCAATAATGTATACAATTACATAAACTAACTTAATTTAATTTAGTCCCTGTCCACAAGATCTCGACCTTCTAACCTTTACATGCCTTCTCACAGATCTGCCTCATTCCAAAATTCCTTTATTGTTCGCTCTGTCAATTTCTGGAATTCCCTCTCTATCAAAATTCTACATTCCCCATCCATATCCACATTCAAAACCCTCCTATTCCAATTGCTATCCCAAAAACAGTCAGATAGTTGCTAACCATTCGAGCTGATTTCAATAGAGAATTTGATACATTTTTATTTTTTAATTCTATATTATTTTCTTAAAAGTGTATACTGGTATATCAGTGCAAATAGCTTTAAGTGTCTTGTCATATTATTAATTGTTTTGTATATAGTTTCGTTTGTTTTGTATATAGAATTTTTACCTTATATTTTTTTTACATTATTTCTTTTTTTCGATTGATTTTATTTTGGCCAGATGTAATATATTAATTTTGTTCTATTTTGTTGTTCTCAAGGGACTGTGTCCCAGAATAAAGTTATTTTTCTATTTCTATTTCTATTTCTAAATTAAAAAAAAAATAAAATGCAGTTAAACACACACACACACACATATATAATTTTTAAAAAATTGTACTTTTCAGAAAAAAGAACAGATTAGTTTCAGTTATATGCATTCAAAAATAATTTTCATAATTATTATTTTCTAAATTGTTTTTGTTTAAAACAGATAGCTGTACTGGCTAGACATCACAATGTCCCGTTCTATGTATGTGCTCCTCTCAGTTCGATTGATTTTGATATAAAATCAGGACTTGATATTGTTATTGAAGAACGGCCTGAAAAGGAAATGGCATTTATTGGCGATACAAGAATCGCTGCTCAAGGTAACTTTTCTCTTACTTATCTCTTTCATCTCTTTCAATATACCATTTCGTACCTCTAATTTATAAATTTATAAATAGGTATCCTAATAATTTTTATTTTGCTTTTGTATAGTGGTTCAGCGATAATGTTATCAGCTGTTATTAAATACATGAAATTTTCAGGAATAACCTGTTGGAATCCAGCCTTTGATGTAACACCAGGTTCGTTGATTAGTGGAATTGTAACGGAGAAAGGAGTTTTTCAACCAGATAAATTAGAAGATCTTTTGCCGTATAGCTGACTTGGCAAAAAAATTAAATGTCTAAAATAAATATTTTTTAAATATCAGTCACACATATCAAAAAGATTATTGTTTCACTTGTTAAAATATTGTATATATATTTATGAAAAGAGTTGTTTTTTTATATCAATCAAGAGTCGCATGATACTATATCAATTTCTTTTGAACAGATATGAAAACTGTTAAGACTGAACGAAGCCTCATATAATGTTAGAAGTATATTATATAAATAAAATTTTAATTTGATTGTTTATCCGTTTTTTTTTATTACATTTAATAAATGAACCTTATATCAAATTAACTTATAAGGTAATTTACAGACTCAAGTTACATAATCTAATCTATAAATCATTTTATTTGTAGATTTCCACTTAGTCAATCATCTAGTTTATTATGCTCAGCAGTTTTTTTTTTTTTTCTATTTTTAGCATAATACAGTTAAACCTCTGGTCTATGAAACTTCCATTTTGTGATAATCTGTATATTGTCGGTTTATTGCAAAAATTCATTAACTGGCATTTCATAACCACAAATAATTAAGAGCTTTGATAAAGTTTCTCTATACGAAATCAGAAAATTGTGCCCTCAGCGTAATTATGTATGATAAGTAAAAGGGTGTGTACCATTTTCATGCACATATGATATTTTTGCATAGATAACATTGAAATTTACAAAAACACTTTTGAAAGTTTTCCTATATCAAAAATGTACTCATTAGTGACTTTTTTCAATGAATCGACGATATATTGAATTTTTTTAGGAACCTTTAATTTTTATTTGTTTGATTTGGTTCGGGAAGTTCTGATTTTCATAAAGTCAATTTGTCGTTTTAACTTCCTTTAATATTTTCTATTTTTGTTATTTGTCAATTTCATGTTGACGTTTTGGGGAATATTTTCTCTATCATGAGAAGTTTATTTATTTCATGAATATCAAATGTATCATCTGTATTGTTATGGCTCCTGTTGTCATATTACATAAGATATTTATTAACTATATCTTTAATAAATTAAGTCAGGAGTTGCTCTACTGACTATCAATTAGTATCCTGGATTACATCTAAGCCATTCGATTTGTAGTCATTAAAAGAAATTTTCATTAAAAAAAGACCTTTATTTTATGCTTATGGGGATGGTTAATATTTAAATAAGATAAAAAAAAATAGTTATGGGAATGAAGTTATTTCCAAGCATACAGTGAAATTTTCATTGCTCCAAAACACTAGCGGATCCAGAATTTAATTTTGGGGGGGAGCTTCAGCCCGAAAAATTTTTTTTTTACATATACATATAACGATAATTAATTTGAAAAAAAAATAAAGAAATTAATTACCTATATAAAATAATGGTGTTTAAGTGGTTCCTGAAGTCCTATTAAATGTAATTCCAGGAACAAGAATACTTTAAGAGATAGTTTTTAATATTTTTTTCTGTAAAATATGGTTATATTTTATCATTTTGGGGGGCTTCAGCCCGAAAGACGAAAGAAGTTTAAAAGTTTTGGATGTCATCAAAACCTATTTAAATCTTTAGTTCTGATAGAATAGTCTTACTAATACTAATCTTTAGTTCTGATAGAATCGATTAAACTTTATTGAAATATAATCCACTTAAAAACTGCCTTTGATAACTGTAATTGTTTTTAGCATGACAAGAATTAATAAATTTCTATATGTCGAATTTTTTTTTCCAATGAACATGTTCAATATTATAAACAAATGAGGTTTTACTTTGTTATATTTGTGAAATTTTAGAACCAAATTCATTTATTACAAAGTATTGTAATTACTTAAATGAATAAAACATAAAAATACCAATAATTGACTTTAAGAGATGATGGCTGCAGGTTACGATTCAAAAATCGAACAGTAAATTTATCACTTAATTAATTTCATTTTCAGGTCAATAGAATAGTTGAAGTTGAGATCCTGAAACCAGTGATCAACTGCCAGGGACCTCACCTCCAGCAATTCTTCTGTCCTTGATGAGACCTACAAATTAGGTCGAAACTTCAAGATATCATTCTTGGACTGAATCCTTTGAGTACCCTCAGGAGAACACTGAAGAGGAGGTATGAAAGTCTTTCCTCAAAAAATACATGATACTCAAAGTTTTATCAAAATTTAAGCATTTCTGTTTTAGTTCACAATATATAGATAGATAGAAAGTAAACTTTATTCTGGGACGAGGTCCCTTATGAATAACAGATATGAACAAAAAAAATAAAAACTACATCTGGCCAAAAATTACATTAGTCAATATTAAAGAATATATATAGTATCTTCAGTGAAATTATATTAAAACAAGTAAAAATAACATCATTAAGAAAAATAAATAAAATAAAACATTATTTGAATGAAAAGAAAACAAAATAAAATAAGCATAGGTTGATTTTAAAAATTAAAACTCAATCAATTTTAACAACCATTCTCCTCAGTCAAAATCTGTTTCGCAATATTTATTTCATCATATAACGTCATTTTGGGATGTGAGAAGGAATTGGTAAAGATGATATTTAAATGAGGACAAGGAAGAGGCATGGCGGATATCAGATGGGAAGGAATTCCAGAAGGCAGTGGATCGGGCAATAAAGGAATATTCAAACGTCTTAGTTCTATGGGAAGGAATATAAAGGTCGGAAACACGGGATCTTGTTTTCTGGGAGTAGACCACGGGTTTGAACTGTAGGAGACTGTAGATGTAGGAAGGGTGTCGGGTGTTGATCGTTTGGAATGGGAAAGATTCAAGGAAATATTGTCTGCGGAAAGAAGGGAAGAGCCACTTTAACTCGTCGTAAAGGTGGGACACATAAGACCGCCTCGAAATACCGAAGACAAATCTTAAGCACGTATTCATGAGTCACTTCAATCTATCCTCGAGTACCATTGGGATGCCTCCGTACACCACACAGTCGTAGTCAAAGTGGAGGAAAATGAGAGAGGATACAAGGAGCTTGCGGATGGGTTGTGGGAGTATGTGGCGGGAGCGATGAAATAACTTAAGGGTACCTATTGACTTACGGGAGATGAGGGTGATATGGGGTTTCCAGGAGAGGTTTTTGTCAATGGTGATTCCAAGGTTTTTAACGGAGGAGCTGAATGTGACAGGATGATCGTTGATGACTAAAGGAGGAAGGAAGGAAATGGATTTAAGGATAGAACTGGAACCTATAATAATGGCCTGAGTTTTCATCGCGTTTAGATTTAAATTATTCAGACTTGCCCAGGCACTCATCCTATAGGTCTGCCTGAATATTGGCGAACCTGACTAGTAGCTCAGAAGGATGAAAGGAAAAATAGATGTATATTGATACATATAAACTTGGTATCCACTAGAAAAAATAGTAGTAAATTACAAGTGGTTTATTACTTTAAAATGAAGTTGAGAAATATTTATAGATTTAGGTAACTTGATCTAAGCTGAAGTCATGTACATCCTGCAACTGGCTGCGATACTTAATAAAAATAATTAAAGAAAACATCAATGTATATATTTGTAAATATTTTTACAGTAATATCAGATTATGGAAAAAAAAATAAAATGTCAGTTTTAACACATTGCTGCATGATTTCACCCTTGAGATGCCAAATAATCGTGGTCGAGTTATTATAAGTAAATTTAAAATTATTTTGTCTGGTAAACATGCATTTAATATAGTTTGTGAATATTTATAAGGTTTGTATCAGGTCAATTAACAGGCCAGATTTTAATCATTCAAAAATGATAAGAAAAGCATTTTTGTTCTGAAAAAAGAAAAATATCTGAGTAATGAAAAAAAAAACCTGTACCAAAACAAACCGTGAAGGCCTAGGGTCCAGTACTGTTTCAAGGCCGCACCACTGCCTTACTCATTGAGTTACCCACTGCCTGCTTAATAAATCATAGAATTGATATGAGTTAGGGAACCCCCTGCAATCACATTCCCAGCCATCATCTCAAATATTAACTTCGTTTTCAACAATTTCTACTCATTATATTATACTTTCAAGGTGTCATAACAGTGACTGCTACAGTTGCATTGTGGGAATGAGGCTTTATGTTCAACCTAAAAATATATTTTTAGGTTATGGAAGTATATCATGTCTTATTTTCTTATCCATCTGGCATCCGAAAAAATTAGGACATGTAAGGAACATTCTAATACATCAAAGAGAAAAAACTAATAGTTAATGAGGATCTGTTTATGCAGGTCTCTAACTATAGCTTGCCCACAAGAATATGGCAGCAGGTAATTAAGAACAGACCACGAGAGGTGAAAAAACTCTCCCTTCTAGGCATACAATTGACCTGACCAACAGATGAAATATAAATGGTAAGTTCGTTTTCATTTTTCCATGTTTGGTAATATGAATGAATGAAAACAATAATTAATAAACAAATAGAAATTCATAAACTTAATTTATTAGGGACTAATGGGACAAGTTTTAATTTATTGCTGTTTGAGTCCACTCTCACTCATATTCTTGTGGGCAAGCTTCAGAAAAAATTTTGAAATTCAAAATGAATGATTTAAATTTCGTTTCTTCATTTTGAATTTCAAAATTTTTCAATGAGTTATCAAGTTATTCTCTCTTCTGAAGTTGAAAAGCAAATAATGAAAATATGGGCGCCACATTTCTTCCTTTATTTGAGGTTTTATATATCATTTTGAGCTTCTCAATCATGGTACACTCAAATTATAGATATACTCTTGCTGATTTGCCATTTCACAGATTATCTGATAGCTTTCATATTGTATTCACATATTTCTCTTGACATTTCATCAGAACTAGATCACGTGGCTTATTTGCTATCAATTTCACCAGTTGCTGCTATTCTGTTGGAAATAATACTATCAGTAATTATTTATACAAAATAGTTTGAATTAAAAATAAATTCACTTTAAACAAGGTATCCACCTTTAATAAAAATACATAGGTTATTTACATTTCTGGGTTTTATTTTTTCGGTCCTACTTCGCCATCCATTTTGGCGTTCTTCCACAAAAAAAATATTATCACACAATATCACTGTAAATAGTATTAATTATTAATAACTATACTTTAGAAAGATACGTAACAACCTGGTTATTGAAAAAGGCCATAAATATGTATATATGAATGGTTTATTTTTATTTTTATAATGACCAAGATTTGTTTTTTATGTTTTTCACATAAATCAAGTTAATTATGGCCATATAGATCATTAAAATGTGGGCATATAAAGTTTATTAAAATTTTGTAAAAGAAAAATTAAACAAGTTCATTAGATTTGTCAAAAATGATTTTTGATGCTTGGTTTTTGTAATCAACCCTTCATATATAGTCAAATGTAATGTGTTATAAAAATAATAATTAGCTATAAAGTTTGCTTTCCTCTAGTTAACTAATTTATAACCTAAATATTTAATATCCAAGGAACAATGCCGCATTCAGCTCGTAGTTTGCCTCTTTAACTTTTTTATTTATTTTTAACTCTTCATCAATGGTATCTTTTAAATGATTTATTATTTATGAGATTACAGATTAGTTCTTGGAGTACCCTAAAGTTCGTACATCCGACCTATTTAACAGACTTTCTGACAGTTAAAACCATTCTCATCTGCAACCACAACTTGATATCCAATATTTGATTAATGATAATGGTGGTTTAATTGTCTGCTATACTCTATCTGAAATTGGAGATTCTTAAAGATTTCTTCAAGCATAATTAAGTTTGAATTGAATGGACACTTGACAGCTGAAGGCGAGGCAGATAGCCTTTACTTTTAAAAGGTAAAAGTTGGATTTTTTGGCGCCCGAACATCTTCGTCAGTTTTCGAATAATATTAATTTTCCTCAAATGGTCATAAGAAGCAAGATATAACCACCTTATACATGGTACTGATGCTGCTTCACATTCATGATTCTTCCTGTAAGCAACCGTTGCAAAACGTAATGGTCATGGAGATGGATTTAATCATATCTATTTACCTTCAGCAATTCTTCATATGCTAGGACATTTTTTTTTTCTTTTGATGAAACATTATCGCTGGAGAAATGCTTACAGTACTATTATGCAAACATTTTACTGTTTATTGCATTTAATTTCAACTTGGAACGGCATTAGTTCACCCTAAGGCTGTCATTTGAATGCTGACGAGCTATTGCTATCTAATCTCTAATATTTTGGTAATTTTTTTTTTTTTGATATATTAAAACTAATAAAATAATTGTAACCATTATCGTTTTACTGTTTGTTTTATTGATTGCCAGAATAAGGCTCATTTATCCTAATTCATTTAATTAAAAAATGAAATTTTAGGAGATAGGTTTATGCCAGTCAGATTCCTTTGTTTCTTTCAAGTGACTAGTAGATCTCTAATCTTAAGTAATGTATGCAACAGTTTCGATAATTTGTAAATATTATTATTCTTGCGAAACAGAGATTTGTTTACCCGGTTGTCTTGACCATTTTCCACTTCTGAATCCTGAAAGTAGTGTTATGATTTTAATAATATGATATTAATTACAATTGAAAATAATGAAAAAATAAATAAATATCAGAAAAAAAAAACGAATATTTTATTCTTCCAAAAAATAAATATCAGGTTAACTGACAATATCTTGTTATTCTGAAGAATGAAAAAAATATATCTACCAACAATTTATGATCATCACAATGAATAAAAGAATATGTTTGTACAAGAACTGTTAGTTATTTTCACAACAAATAAATATCATTTTGTAAATTGATACTTTCAAAACTAATCGATTAACAAAGAAGCAAAATGGATTTAATACAGTGAGATAACAAGCAAAACAAACCCTGTTACATTTATCAAAGCATTTATTTGATATAAAATCCACTATATTAGTCGACAAGGTAGAATTAGTAAAGAAACTAAGCTAACAGATCTACAATTTTTCTTTCTTTTTTTTTTTTTTTTTTTACTTCCAATAGCGCTTTATAAATTGAAATGTTGGATCAACCTTGATAAACTTGCCAGTAAAACGTTGATAGCAAAAATTAAGCCTGATGAAAGTTGGCAAGTAGAGATAACATAGAGAGAGCATAGAGATAAAGGAGTGGAGTGATATAATAAACGAGACATCAGGAGTTTGGCCCATTAAAAATGTATTGAAGAAAAGTTGATTAAAAGGATTGGACATAGGTGCAGGATGGGCGCTGAATGTCATGCAAAGATGGTAATAAAAATTGGACAACATTGTGGAAAAAATAAAAAAACTGTTATGAAGAGAAGGATAGTTGGTGATCAGTCAAAAATAAAAATGGCAAAAATAAATAATATTTATTTTAACATTAAATAAATAATATTTATTTTAACTGCAAATGCTAAAATAAATATTATTATTTATTTTTGCCGTTTTTATTTTTGACTGATCACCAACTGTCCTTCTCTTCATTATTCACTACAGTCAACCATCAACCCACAATTAAAAAAACTATTAGGAGACCATAGAGATGGGAAATTCGATTATTTTAACTAGACCAATTTGCTACAATTGAATCACTGTGGTGATCAGCAATGAAGACTAATAGAGAATAGAACGAGAATAATGAAGTTATTCAAATTTCCTATAATTGAATACAAGATAAGAGACTAGCCGCATGTATTGTAAGATAATAAAGGCTTTTAACCTTTAAGTCTAATAGATATTGAAACATAATATAGGAACAAATCTCGAAGTGAATCAAGGGAAGAGCTCGAAAAAGTTTAATTTTCCATACTGCTGAGAAGGGGGTGAGGGCATGGAATTAAGTTTATTAAATTTTTTTACTGGTCTATTGATATAGTATTACTTATTACCTTATGCTTAAGAACTTTCTTTTTCTTTTTAAATTTTAAAATTTCTACTTACGGGATAACTTTCAGTTGGAAGAATGTAAGAACTACTAGTTTCATGCAGAAGTTGGTTCATAACTGTCTTGAAGTTGACAGTGTTCCTGGGCATACAGGTGCACCTGATGAACCGCTTACTGTGGTACTCAGTGTCCCAAGGGTCTATCGGATGGTCATCGGGTTCATTATCCTCCTCATCGACCCTCACAACACAGGCTGGGCACACCTTCCTTCCCGAGTTACACGAAGCAGATGTTCTCAGGGTTGATGCCTTTGATGAAACATTCAACATTTCTGAAAAAGATGAGCGACGTAACGTTTCAGCAGGCGATCTCATAATCATTGACATAGTTTGCTGAATCGCGGCTCTGACATTGTATGTTTTACTCGTAGACTGGCCCAGAATAAATGGAAATGATGCTGTATGAGTTTTCATTTCATTAATACTCGGGGAATGTACTGCTTCTCTTGCTAAATGATGCCTTCCTTTCAAACTTTCAGAAGGCTCTTTAGTTCTAGATATTTTGTCGAAGGGCTGGTGGTTCCTTGTTTCAAATGTTTCCTCCTTTCTCGTGGCAAATAATAATTTGTGTTTATTCGATTCCTTCTTCACAGGAAGAGCTGAAGTGTTGGGACGAATGCGGTCTATCTTGTTCTTCAATTTCATATTTATCGGAGAAATTTCTTCATTGATAGAATTATTTTTAGAAGGTCCTTTTGTTGCTGTTAAAGTTCGCATGTTGCTTTTCTTTTGCTGTTCTGTTTTTGTATTAGGGGGTTTTATTTCTTTAACAAATGCTTTTTTAACAGCTTTGACCAATTTTTCATTTGGAATGCTCTGGGTATCTGCAGCAATAACATGATTTTTGTTTAGAACGGTATTTTTCAAATCTGAATTGAATGGTTTTTCCTTTATGTTAGCCGCGTCGTCTAACTTATGCACATGATTTTTCTTTATAATCGGAGTTTTCGATTCTGAATTGATATTTTTATTATTTTTCACCTCCTCTTTATGGTTCACTATTCCATTTACAATGCCTCTTTTAATATTGTGTGGTTTCGCCTCATCAACTTTTTTAGGCTGAGCATTCGTAGTCAGGATTTCAGTTACAGATTTTTTGTGAACATTTTTGCTTACGGCAACAAAATTATTTTTTTGTTCATTCTTGTTTTTAACAATCAAGTCTTCGCCACCGTATTCCTCTGTTTTATTTACAGTTTTTGGAACTTCATCTTCATTCTCATTATTTTTGTAATCTTTTAAAGTAACTTCCTGTTTTTTATCATATAAGGATTTCAACTTTGGCTCTATGATTATATGCTTAGCTTTCTGTCTTGAACTTGTGATTGTATTTTTTTTTGATTTTACATCTTTTCTTCCGCCGGTTTTCTTTGTTTCAGGTTTCAATTGTACACCGTTAAGTCTTTTGTAAAGATTCATTTCTGGAGAATGAAGCTTTACATTCATCACAGTTGAACTGCAAATAGTTGGGTTTGGTTTTTTTGGTTTTTCTGACTTAGTTTTCACAGATGAAGCGTCACAATTTTTTTCTTTTACTTTACCATTTGCTCTACGGTTAGAGATCTGTTGGTTAGTTTGATTTGGGATAACTTTGGTTTGTATTGAAGATTCGTTTAGCAACCGATTAAGAGGAGATGTATTTTCTGAACGTGTGTCTCCACCTAAAGAATGCTTCTTTGGCCTTCCAATGATCAAATCATCAAAGGTTACTCTCATATTTTTATCTTTATTGTTGTTTTGTAGCATTGTGTCTTCTTCTCCCGACTCTTCATAAAACATTTCCTGAAACTTTTCAGTGACAGATGAAGGTAGAAAAAATTCTACTCCTTCATCGAGGTTTTCCATGTCACCATTTTTTTTATCAAAATTATCTTCATTTACTGTGCTGTTGCTTGAATTTTTCTTAGGTGATTTATTGGTCTCTTGATACTTTTTAAATGTACTACTGCTGTTTTCTGAACTGCTTCTTCTATTGTTATTATTGTTTTTTTTTTCTTCATTGTCTTTCAATCTTTTTAGAAGTTCCTCATAGAGATTTTGGTTATTAGAAGGTTCTTTGCCATCATCATTCGATGATGATGATGTTGAGCATGAGTTGATGAGTATCGACTCGTCATCAGAAGATACGTCTTCAGTAAACGATTCTTCATCTTTGCCTGCTATGACATTTATGGTTGATTTCCCTGAAATCTTAAAATGACATTAATGAACTTTATGATCAAAAGAAAAGGAAAGTATGTGACTTTTTTGTTTGTTTTATCATAACTTTTTAAATATTATTTAAAATTAATTTTTTTCTTTATTTGTCGTGTTGATTTATGGTATATAGTAAAGTGTTGTACTAATCAAGTTTTATTGTTGTATAACCGTTGTATTGGTAAATCGCTGTTATAAGGATGGATGTGGTTAAGAATAAGATCCACACAGATGAAATATGCTGTTTATTATTAATACAATATAATAAAGGAAAAATTAGAAAAAAAAATTGATAGTTGGGACACAATTAGAAAATTCCAAACACAAAGCTTAAGCCTTGTTTACACATCTCGAAAACCAAGGGAAACAATAGCATCCCGGATTTGGGTATTTCCAGAGAAATCAAAGAGATCTTGCAGAAACTGCCACATATTGTTGTTCAAGATTTCATCAGAAATTACTGTTTACACTGCTGTCTTCTTTTATTTTAGATTTTCTTATTTAAAAAAAAAAATAGTTCAAAAAACCAAATTTCAAATGAAAATATATCTTTGTAACATCAGAAGGTCGATCATTCTACACTGAAGTTTGTTAGCCAAGAGTTTGTGTCGAGGAAACAAGTAAAATCGGCCTTAAATACTGATAAAAAAACTAACCTGTTAACGTTTTAAGTCATGATGATGTTTAATACAAATAAAAAATCACATATTTACAGACAGAATATGTCTCACATAGCGGAGTGGGGTAGCTCAGTGATAGGGTACTGGACTTCCAATGCTAAAGGTCCTAGGTTCGATTCCTGGCTCATGGTAGAAAAATTATTTATTCTGTTTCATTGGTCGTGAGGAGACCCTCCTGGGGCACACCCAGCCTCTATAAAGTGGGTACCCTTAATTAAATAAATAATTAAGGAACAAAACCTGGCGGTTGAGCGTGCTCTCGGCCAAATCACCTCCTTGCACAACCGCTGACCTAGAAACAGTGCTTTCCCTAAATAGTACTGAACCCTAGGCACTTCATGGATTGTAGTGGTACAGATTATATGTCTCACATCAACAGATAAAAAAAGTACATTTACTTTTCTTTCTCCTACACCTGGATATTGCCTGCTTGATCAGCCATGCGTAATCTTGCAACCCAATATAATTCTCCTCTCCTAGCAAAGGGGTTGTGTTAATTTCAGCAAAACACATCATCTTATGTCCTGTATTGAGATGTTGCCAGTCATTTTATCTAAAGATCACAGAGGACAGGTCTGTCTATCCATTGTACAGATGCGGTGGAGGTGCTTCCGCAGGAAGTCATGTTCTGTAAGCTTCCTAAAACGACCAATTGCTCTCTTGGGAGTTGTTTTGAGATCCGGCCAATTTATTGTAGCAACCATTCCTTCAGTTATTTGGGCATCCTTTATTTTACTTTAGAGGGTGCCATTTTCTTTTAATTGGTTCAAATACAGATGAGAATCAAGGGAATTTGATTTCATATTACAACCACTTTGGAGGGATACAATTGCCACTTGCGATTCAACAAAGAGAGCGGCTTTATTGTCAGGCCGTTCAACCAATCCCTCAAGGGACAAGATAATAGCTTTCACTTTCTCTTCAAAGTTTGCGGTTACTCTTCCGACCGGGGTGGCTAGTTGGAACTATTTTGAATAGATTCCAACTCCAGCGTGAGATACATTAACATTTTGTAGGAAGGAGAAAGATCCGCTTCCACCGTTTGCCTTGTGGCTTGGTCCGTGCATTCATTATTCCTCTGGCACTCACTCAGATCGGTTGTTCCGGTTTTTGACCATTAGTTGGAAGCTATCAGTTGCAGATTCTAAATCCAAAATTAAATAAAAAGATTTTAAATGCATTTTTGATAGCTAATATCTTTCAGGGTGACTCGTATTTTTAACAAATTAAAGAGGGAAAAAAATGTTTACCCAACGTTCTTTTGGATTTCGGGACCCGCCATCTGGAAGAAACACAAGTTATGAGGAAGGCAGTCAAAGGATTAACCGTTGTAATTACATCATTCCAAGACTTATGTTGACACCAATTTCCTCTAGTATATATTTAGATGTTTTGGAATAATGTATTTTTTTTTATTTATACTGTCGATGTGAAATACGATATATTTGTATGTACATGAATGGTAAGTTGTTTAGCAGTGTATTGGGGATTGGTGGATTTGGAATCTTCCAATTATATCCTGTCTAATAAGAATATCTATATATTGACTTAAGTTTAAGGCCTTCTAATCCGTGGTAGAGACCCCTTTTTACCGAATTATTAACATTCGTCTGAAACTTCGTAAATAGTTTCATCTCATCGTAACCTACAACTATTTTATTTGAGAATATTCTTGGATTGGGGAGTTTTCGATCTGGAGGGGGCAAACTTTGTCTATTTAATTAGGTATTAAAAACTCGTAAATACCCATTTCCTTTCTCCTTGGATCGTAAGATAATTTGATCACAAAATCGATAAAAAGATGGCCTAAAAAATATAATGGGCCGTGTGTCTTATATAGCCTCGTTATCTTGAAAATTTTGGAGTGGAGGTCACGCCAAACGGCTAAATATTTTTGAAGAGCACGTTTTTTTCGATTTTGTGTTCAAATTATCAATTAGAAAGGAAATGGGTATTTACGAGTTTTTAGTACCTAATTAAACAGACAAAGTTTGCCCTCCTCCAGATTGAAAACGCCCCAATTCCAAGAGTTTTCGTAAATAAAATAGTTGTAGGTTACAATGAGATGAAACTATTTACGAAGTTTCAGGCGGATGTTAATAATTCGATAAAAAGGGGTACGTACCTCGGACTATTCATCATGGTTAAGGAAAATACTTTATTAATGGAGTTGGGTGTTAACTTATTAAATCCCATAGTATCAGTTCTTGTATTATCGAATATTTTTTTTCTTAGCTTTACGAAGGATTACGACGTGAACGTTGGCACCCAATCCACAACATATGAGGTTACTTTATTAAAATTTAAGAAATAATTTAATATTGGCTCTTAATTAATTATTTTTTGAAAAGAATAATTCGAAGTATTCTGTGTAAGTATGAAGAAAGAGTTCGAGTCCGTCAAAGCCATAATATTTCAATAATGCAGTAGTGTCATTCTAGTCTAAAAGGAAATTATTTTAATTTATCGTAAATATTAAAAAACCACTATGGTTCATTGAAATAACATGTATTTATGTCGTGTTGGTCAGTGTATGACGGATTATGGTCTGATCAACTCTATTTCCATAATGACTAATTTTTTATTCAACCACACCTTTTCAGTTTCTTTTATCATTTTCTCCTCGGGACGTTTATGATTAGTCGTACCATCAAACGTTAAAGCATACCTTTCATTTTCATTCGGTGTAACGTTTCCGTCAAGGAAAGGTACCTGAAATAAGAAAAGATACCGCTAAAATTACGATAGCAGGAAATATCGTCATTATTAAAATGTCTTAAAAATAAACACTACAGTATGGCGGATTAGCCACGATCACATTGACCCTACTGTAAATACTTCACCAGCGTGACCGGCTTTTAATCACATAGCAACATTCGTTAACTCCAAAGAGATAAACAAATCCCCAGCAACACGAGATCGGTTCCTTCTCAAGTAAATTGGAGACCGCCAACTACTTCCAGAGAAGTAAAGCAGATGGCGACCCTGAGAGTAGTGAAGATCCTGCGATCTTGGACCCAGCCACCTTGCAGTGGAACACTTGTAATTTCCAGAAGGTTCGATCACGTCCGTCTAATTTCGGAAACACTCGGCCATTCTCGGGATTCCATTATTCAAGTGTTCAAAAGTTCATCGTGAGATTCAACGTTCGCAGATGAGTCGTCAATATTAGTTCAACTTTCAGAGAATTGCTTTAAAAATGTTCAGTTATTTAAGTTATGATGATATGGATACAATACATCTATTAGAAATGTGAGATACAAGTGAAGTATTAGAGACAGAATAATTTAATTGTCAAATAATCATTTTTTTTTTTATTATTAGGAGTTTCCACAAATAGTGGATTTCCTTAACCTGAAGTGCTTGGATGGCTTCTATCCATACTGTCCTATCTAAGGTCCATTCTTCCCGTAGACCATGACCCATCATGAATACCTCCAGTTCGTTATCCCAGGTCTTCTTCTTTCCCTAGTTTTCCATAAGAGGACTTCTTTGGATAGTCTTCCTTTAGGAATTCTTTTCAAATGTCCATATCACTTCAGGCGTTTTATCTCAACCTCTTCCAGAATGGTTCTTTTAGCCTCCATCTTTTCTCTGATGGTCTGACTTTATCCATTCTGGATATTCCCGCCGCTCGTCTCCGGTAGACCATTTCTGTGGCTAGAAGTTTCTTCCTGAGGCGGCTTTTTATGGTCCAAGTTTCTGACAGATGTCATAATGCTCAGTACTATACTATAGTAGATTTTCTTTTTGTTTTGGGGATATTGTTATGGTTCCACAATAACGAGTTGAGCATTGATACGGACTTTTTGCCATCTGATTTTTTTTCTTTTTATTTCCACATCACAAGCACCATCAATTTCAATTATGGAACCAAGATATTTAAAATGTTTAATTCTTTTTGAAACCCCTCCTGCATTCAGTTCTATATCCTCATTATTGAATGTCACGTGTTCCGTTTTCTCTGCATTAATAACTAGTCCCCACTGCTGATATTCCTCATTTAATTTTCTTAACATATATCCTGTGCAATCATGACGAGTTCATAATGATTTCAATTGGTTTATTATATGAACCTTTCAGTCGACAGTATGACAACCCAATTTCTACACGGTCCATCAAATGAACTCGATTGAAATCACGAAGGTAAGACCAATGAGAAGAAAAAAAAAAAAAAGAAGGCGTCAAGAACCTCCTATATCGCCGATGGAATGAATTAGCAGGGACAGATAAACGTGGCACCGATGACCAGTGGTAGTCCCACGCTGAAATTTGGAACAAAAAGAAAAGTGGTTTTAAAATTCATTAAAATCAAGTCATCTTAGTTTTTCTCTACTAAAGATTCATTAGACAAATAAGACGGAACAAATATATTTGGTTCAACAAAACCATTCCACATAAACAAAGTAAAAACAATTCAAAATTCATTAAAATTGTCGTTTACGAAAATCGCAGCTCACACGACACAAGCATACCAACAGACTAAAAGCATAGCTTTTGAAAAAAATGTGTTTAATCGATTCTATAAAGTACCACTTCCGTAAGCCAATTTTGACAAAAAAAAAAGTAGTAACATCTCAAGCATATAAAAACCTTAAATGTGCAATATCACTTTCGTACAAATTTTAGTTTTTTAGTTAGACTTAGAAGGGGGTTTCATGGCGCATGTTGTGGCATCAAAATTTTTAAGGGATTTTGGAATTTTTGAGGGGAGCAAACTGAGAAGGAGTTATGATTTTTTGGAAAAAAAAGTTTCAGACTAAGGGACAAGAGGAAAACATGGAACTAACTGCAGCAAGTGTAATTGTATATGATCTATTATTGTTCTAATTATACCTTCACTTGCTCTGTTTTTGAGAAAAGGTAGGCAAATAAAATATCTTATAAGGGGGGGAGGTAGGTTCTTACGTCATCGGCCTTGGGAGGGGGGATGGGCACCCCTGGTTAGACTGATAACATACACACACACCCTGAGATCATTTTGCGGAACATGGTTATTTGGACTCAGGGAATCTCAAAACGTGTATTTCCGTTGAAAACTCAGATTTCAAAATTTTCACGATCGTAATACTTAGCGAATCCAGGATTTAATTTTGGGGGGGCTTCAGCCCGAAAGTTTTTTTTTTTTTCATATACATATAACAATAATTAATTTGGAAAAAAAAAGAAATTAACTACCTATATGAAATGGTGTTTAAGTGGTATTTGAAGTCCTATTAAATGTAATTAAACGAACAAGAATACTTTAAGAGATAGTTTTTAATATTTTTTTCTGTAAAACATGATTATATTTTACCATTTTGGGGAGGCTTCAGCCCGAAAGCCCCTCCCCCTAGACCCGCCTGTGCTTTTCCTTACTATATATTACATAAGTAAGTAAGTGAAATAAAAAAAAAAATAAATACTAGAAGAAAAAGAAAGCTGTTTCACCGTCACCTTGTTATATGTCGCTATTGCCTATATGGATAACTGTTTGTGTAGAACTAATATTCCAACTAATGTAACCGGTTATCACGAGATTCTTTATAATCTTTATAATATATATTATTTATGTTTACAAAAAAAAAAAAACACTACATACTTGATCCTATATTTTAGTTAATGCATCCATTTTATATGAGGAGTTCTGTATCAATTTGACGAACATAGTGGACAGTTATTAATTTTAAATTTAGTTTCCAAAAAGGAGGATATTTTCTTACCGATGGCAATTTATGAAGCTATATTTTATTTACTATGTTCGTTGGATATTTTGAAATAATCGAAAACAATAAAATGTTGAAATTGATCATTAAATTTTAAAAAATAAATAAAATGTTAATCATTTTACAATATCATCTGGGGTAATACATAATAAGTGTTACCAGGGGAACCGTTTCCATGGTAACCGTTATTTTGATAAGAGAATTAATTAATTGGTCTAATAAATAAATATTACAAAATAAATACATTCATTATATAAGTATCATTTAGAGACAAAGAATTGATTATAAAATTAATGATGATTATAAATATACAAATATAAAGGCACGTTTTAAATTATTTTATATTTTAACACAATCTTTCACAACATATGTTTTATATAGGACCCGTGAGGTTTCCTAGCAACTAACTTTTAACCAGAATTATCTCATTGTAATGATGACAGCTTACGAGACATTTGTTGTATATTTTTAGAAATAACGTCCTTTTTGAAGAGAAGATAACCTCATTATGTTTAACTTCGATTGAAATTAAATATGAATATAAAGCTAACCGTGTACAGATAACGTAAGTTTATCATATTTTGTACAGTCCAGGCAACTTGAATAAGTAGAGCACTTTATTAAATAAAACATGAATTTGGTCTATTTGAATATAGTACCGAAGTTAAGATAAAAGAGCGTATGGCCTGAATGGTAATTTAAAACATGATATCACTTGGTTTTTGATATTCATTTAAAATATAGGTTAGATTATTAAGGTAGACAATTGACATAAATTGACAACATTTGGCAAATTATTTTAAAATTTAATTAAATTATTATCTTTTTTTTCATGATAGATTCGTCATAGATGTCTTTTATGAATGGATGAAGACTAAATGGGAAGCGATAAGAAGAACGATTCTATTCAGTACTCAACTGCAGGTGTGTCAAAATGATCAACATGAAACCTATGTTTCTCTCATGTGTATTTGTAGTTCTTGGAAAGGTAAGCTTATTACCTTAACATACTTCAAATAAGTAAGTTTGTCACCAGTCAACTACATAAAAACAGATACACTAAAAAAAAACAGTCATAAATCTAACAAGGCATGTTTTTTATTTGATAACGAAGTTCGTAAAACTGCATTTAAAATTGCACCTTCCAAACCTTCTGCGACGTAAAAATATCGATAATTTCTTTTACGTTGACGTTTTTTCGCTATAAGAGAAAATCACCGTCACAGTGTTTCTATATCTAAAATAAATCCGAATTTGGCGCCCGTTTCATACAATCACCTAAGGTATATCATTTAATAGGATACATATGTTTATATATACAAGATTCATAATTTCTTAGAAAGCTTTACTAGAAGTACAGCAGGTATAAGAATCACGAGATTATTTTAAATGAAATGAAAAATTAATTTTATTCTGGAACTAAAGTCCCCTTAGAATAATAACAGAGTTCAGAAAATATATAATTCAGTCTGGCATATGGATATGATACAGATATATAAAAAGAATACTAAGAAAAGATAAAAGAGAAAAGTAAATATAAAAATAAAAAGGCTCTTATCATTTAATTGTTGGTGACCAATTGTAAACAATTTTTATAAGATGGCGGAAGTTTGAATATGTTATAGGTAATGGAATAGGAGTTGTTTGAAGGAATTTGTGAACGTGGTTTGATATATGGAGATAGGTAAGGAGGTAGCACGAATGACGAGGGATTTGCTGAAAGAAATTGTTTTATAGGAGAGAATACATAGGTCTATAAATTGAGATCTGGTACTAAGAGAGTGGATGGAGAAGAGTAGATTAAGGAGTTCTAGGAGGTGTACGGAGGATTTTTGGTTCTGAGGGGTTGGAAAAGGAAAACATCAAGAAGGCATTGCCGCCAGGAAGTAGGATAAAGTCACTTTAACTCGGTGTATACCTAGGAAACAAGGGTACGCCTGGGAATTCCAAAGATGAATCTCGAAGCAATTCATGAGTCTCTTCAGTCTTATGGATAACCCTCGATAAACCAAGAAACTGTAGTCGAAGTGGGAGAAAATCGAAATCGAAAGAAATGTTTGAGAATAGTTATGAATTTTAGGGTGATCTAAGTCTTCCACTTTACAAGACCAGATCAAGACTGGTAAAAAAAAATCGATTTTTGGATAAAAATTATGGCAAAATAATTACTAATGCTTGACAATTTAGATACTATATGTAAAGAATTGGTGTAACCAATGTACCTTTGCACACAGGCGGATCTACAGAGGGCTTTCGGGCTGAAGCCCCCTTCCCCAAAATGGTAAAATATAACAATGTTTTACAGAAAAAAAATATTAAAAACTATCTCTTAAAGTATTCTTGTTCGTTTAATTACATATAATAGGACTTCAAGAGCCACTCAAACACCATTTCATATAGGTAGTTAATTTCTTTCTTTTTTTTTTTCAAATTAATTATCGTTATATGTATATGGAAAAAAAAAAACTTTCGGGCTGAAGCCCCCCAAAATTAAATCCTGGATCCGCTAGTGCTTTTGCATTTAACTCTTCTAATTTTTCATTTGGGCTTACTTAGGTTTTCCCTATCTAAAATAATACAGTAATATCTCTATAGTACTAAGCTAATAGGTAACTGCAAGACGGTTGCGAGACTCTTGTGCAAGACCAAGACTGAGTTTGCAAGGCCAAGACTGAGTTTGCAAGACCAAGACTCGTCTCGGTCTCGCATTGTTGGCCAACACTAATAAGATGTCTTGGTCCGATGAAGATAGCCTTAGTTTTTTCTGTTTTCTGTTTCAGTTCATTTTTTTTTTTCTGTCCAACTTTGGATACACGTCCTCTTGAAGTATTCGGATAGCCTCTCGTTAGAACGAATTAGAAGGTTAGAACAATAGGTAAATTTGGAAATCATATGCACATAAGTTATAGCGGGAGTGATGAATGGAGTCAGGAAAGTTGCTAATACAGATGGAGAAAATGGTCGAACAGAGTGAGGAGGAAGTAGATTTGTTAAGAATAACAACTGCATGAGAGCGAGGTGATAGAAAGAAGAGGAAGCACTTTAGATCGCTATTCGATGTGGGCAGGCTTTGGGGTTTGGAAAGAAGGATCTTATTTTAAAGTAGGTTGTATTTTCGGTTTATAGTATTGATTGACTCTATAGACAATATTGTTTGAAATATGGTTAGGGGTTACAGTTAAATAAAACACAAATAAAAACAAAAGAATTCACTTTATTTTGTGCCAACGTTGTCGGCCCAAGTTATTTTTGGTTTAGCTGGATTTTAAATACTTTGCAACCCCCTTTGAATGACACCCAGGGCATGTTTTCTAGATACCATATTGGTTGTTGAGAGTCTTCCAACAATTTGAAGGCTGCTTTATTCCATAATAAAATTGAGGTCTTCTTTGTCAAATGATGATGATCGTCTTCTAATTCTTTTTATCCATGAGCGGATTTCTTGCCGCTCTTATCTTCAAAACCAGATGTTGCTTTATAATTAAAAACTAAATGGATTTATATTTCACATACATATGAATATAATTGAGCTATTATACTTACAAATAATATAATTATACACAAAGTTGGGTGCTCCTCTACAATTTCCAATCCATCCATGTGCCAAGATTGCTTGTGCATGAATCCTTCACTTTTTTATTCCTGTAAAAAACTTCTCAAACCAACAGCGAACACCCATTTATTCATAAACCATTTTCCAAACGCTATTTAAATTATATCATCCATCCTGGACTCTCGGACGTATGGTATGCGTTGAAACTTCTGAGATAATATAATAAAGAAGTTGTCCATAATCGAATTTCAAGTTATACTACTCCTGTCCTGCAATTTCCTTTAACAATATTCCCCTTAGCCCTAGGACCTAGGACTCCTTGACAAGCGTCTTACTTGGAATCCTCATACTAGATTGAAAAGACAAGAAACTGCTAACAGATTCCGACTACTACATCACTTCCCTGACAAACGCTTTAAACTTCCAATATTCTACAAAAAAAATCCATATACGCTTCCATCATCAGGCCTACCATCATAAGGAATAGAGCTTTGGGGTTCCACAAAACCATCAAATTCTTCCCGTGTCCAATCCTTACAATCCAAATTCCTTCGTAAAATCCTTAATGCTCCTTATTATGTCACAAATAAAATTATCCATAAAGGGCTCAACATTCCCTCTGTTGAAGACTTGGTCCGACTAAGTTACTCATCTTTTAATTCCAAACTCCTTGGTCACCCTAACCCTCTAGTTCATAACCTTTCATCCAGAACAATTCCTGACAACTCTCCGAGGCCTCTGAAAAGAAGAGGGGGGGGCAAGGGACCTTCTAAATTAATTTAATTTTGAAAGTGCAACGTGTAATAGTTTCTTGACAAGTTTTTAGCATGTTTTATTTATCATTTTAGCAGATTTACTTATTGTATATGTATAAAGTTGTAAATGTCAATAAAAAAAAAGTTATACTATAACGCGAGTAATTAAAAGGAGAAAGGACAAATAACAAAAAAAAATTATAGTATTGATAATAATTCATTATAATCATTACTGATTATAATATATGTTGGTAAACAAAAGGAAACAGATAAATCTATGAATTTATACTTTATTAAAAATGGTCATTTCATGGAAAAACAACCCAATATACCATATTATAGTTTTAAAATCGATATTTTTCTTGGCTCTAAAAACACTTTATTAGTCAACAATCGAACAAAAAAATATATTTCTATTTTAAAAAGCATTATAATAAATAATATAAAAAATATATATTACTTGCCTCTTCTTTATTGATAATGGTCTCAGAATGCTGGGACCTTGATCTAATTATTAAAGGTTTATTATCGTCACAATTCATATCTCCAGTAGATCGTTCAACATAAGCATTATCTACAGCCATCTACAAACATAAATAAAAAAAAATAAAACAATGTTATAATATTATAGAAACGCTTAATGTTTTCTTAAGCATATTACTCCGCTTTACTTGTTGTTTAATATTCACCTCATAAATGTCAAATGTATGATTTTTCATAAATTTCAGGTATCGATAGGAATTTGAAGCTCTCTTACAAGGTGACATCAACTCTAGATCCGTAAAACGCCAAAATAAATGTATCTACAGTTATTGATTGCTATTTTTGCTACTAATTGGCGTATTTCGATTATATTATGGTAATATTGCATTATTTTTTTTATGTCATCTGTGTTCTATAAAAGGGTTCAATTAAACAAATCATGTATTTTCATTAAAATCGCCTCTCTAGATTTATGAGATAGCTACTAATGTGTAAAAACCCCTTCAAGGAAGCAATGATGAAAATAATATATCATTTCCTCGTATGACTTGTCAAGCATTCTTTTCATAACATTGACGATTTTACAGAACACTGACGATATTTTGTCAACTCATATTTGCATAACCTACTATAAATGATATCTTATCATATTAAGATAGCTATGACTAACAATTGAATCGGTGACTGCAGAAACCACTTCAGTCAAAAAATGCGAATAATCATTTTCGATGAAAAGAAACTTAGAAAAATGCGTGTTTAGTGTAAGAACTACGTTAGTCTGTTGAGTAGTTCCGTAAATACATGACGTATTTTTCGATCGTTGAGCGCAGAAATAACATGAGTCAGTGACTAAAGTGGTTTCTGCACTCACCGCTGGATCACATGACCTGCAGAGATGGGCATATTTATATTCAAAATATAAATACGAATATTATTTATATTTATGGTACTTATGAATGTAAATATAAGTATATTTATATTCATAAAAAGAAATATGAATACTGATGATACGTATTCACGGCTGTAAATATAAATACGAACGTATTCACGATTGAAAAGTGAATACGGCAGTATTGACGTTTATTAAAATAAATACGCTTAAATTTACAGAATTGAATACAAATATTTCCACACAACCTTCTTAATGAATACTCTTATTTATTATATATATATTTACTATATGAATAATTTTATTTTTGTAAATAATATTATATTCTTCGTTTTACAATATGTTATGTTAATTATGTTACAATGTATTAATTATCACTCATAATGTTTGTAAGTAATATAAATTCCCGAGCCTTTGTGTTTACACTTGTAAAAGTGAATACGGCAGTATTCACGTTAATGAAAATGAATACGATTAAATTTACAGAAGTGAATGTAAATATTTCCACACAACCTTATTAATGAATACTCTTATTTATTAAAAATATATATATATATATTTATTATATATACCATTTTATGTTTATATATAATATTATATTATGTTACAATATGTTATGTTAATTATCACTCGTAATGTGTGTACGTAATATTCCCAAGATGTTTTTTTGTTGGATCCATACCGCATTAAATTAAAATTAATATAAATTTTTGTAAAATAATTTGTTAATGAAAAAATATAAACCTTTAACGAATGGTTACCTTTTTCCAAGTTTTCAGCTGTCTGTAAAAAATAGTTGAGTACAGAAACAGCATAAGTACGAATCAAATTTTAAATTTTCCTGAGCCTAATCTATGTCGAAATTAGGTATTTTTGGATAACAGCAACATAGATGCATGTTATGTTATGATATAGGGGAAAAGTTCAAATATTTGGAAATTTGGAGGAGTTATGACGTTTTTTGTCTCTCCTGAAAAAATTTAAAATTGTGACTGAAGTGGTTTCTGCACTCATCGATCCAATTACTAAAACAATTATTAATTTTATTATAAAGACAATAAGAACGATTGTCATGGCTATTATGGCTCATAAAGGACATCCTTGGAAATTTCCTAGTTCTTTAAGAGAACCCAGTTTGAGGCGATATTAACCAAGAGATAAATTAAAGTACTGGTAATTTTATCGGCATAATTACTGTTGCAAGACTTATTTCTATAGATTGACTTAATATTTCTTAAAATGATAAACAAAAACTAATGGAAGTCCTTAAAGCGTTAAGTCGAAGTTATGATCTTGTTGTTGAAACATTACAACAATCATAAAGGCTTTCACCACTTTCCCATCTTACATTTTAAGAAGGTAGGTATTTATATTGAAGTACGTGTTTCAGAGGTCCACTACACTTTCTATACAATCATCCATCATCGAAGGAAATCATTTTTATTTGCATTTTAAACAGTAGAAAAAAACCGCTTTTCTGATGATATCTCAGAGAAAATGATAGGGATGATTCATCATAAACAAAATGTTTCAAATTACTCTCAGATACTGAGTCACCACAGGCTTGTTACTATTCTATGACCTTTTTTTTCTCTTGTGCCAAAGTCATTGGTCAATCCACCATCGGACATCTTTCTGTCCAATATAAGGTTCATTTTTTCAAATATCCATTTTTAAATGTTTTATTTCTTATGTGTCCGTCAAAGCAGGGACATGTGTCTAGGTGGTCTGCATCCATTCTTGCTTGATTACATAATTTAAATGCAGGATCGTCCGCCACGCCTATTTTGTTGAAATGACTCTGCAGATAGTCGTGGCCAGCCAGCAGACTACAGCGTCTCTTCTTGGTAGGTCAGCTGGGATCGTATTTTCTATTAACACTTTCGTTCCACCTTGTCTATGTGCGTTTTTCCTATTCCTTCCTTCACTACTACCTTTACCATTCGCTGAATTAAGTCGTACGATTTTGGATGGCCCGGTCGAGTCAAATCTGCTCCTCGCTTGGCAAGACCATCGACTTCTTCATTTCCTGGAATTCCACAATGGCTCGAAATCCACTGTAGGGCCACATTTGTGCCTCGGAGCGGACTATACGATGACCCCAAACATTTACAAACGCTTGGCATAGTAGGTATTAATAACAATGTAAGCTTGCGCAAGACCATCCAAATAACACCATTCACCACGCTGTGCTAATGAAACCTTACCATTATTTAGCAAGTATGTGGAGCCAAAATGGAGTGAATCGTCACTTCAAAAATAACTAATCAATAATAACTGAAACATTCTTAAATTATTCTTTTGATCGCATTAGAGAATGAATTCGTAACTCTCTGAGAACATCTATTTCCAAGGAATATTGGCCGGCATTATAAAGGTTTACTTTCTTGTGTTGAACTATGTGTTACACTAGTTTTGTAAGGTGACAAGATGTTTGTTTATTAGATACATCTGGTAATATATCGTATATATGTAGTTGGATGACAGATGTATTTGGTCCTTTAGTTTGGGAGCAATGTACACCATGTTGAATGTTTTCTCTGGTGTCTTACCTCCAGCTTCTAATGCGGGAGTACCAATTTACTTAAAAACTAATGAATCACATTAAGCAATAATTTCATTAATTCATTTAATAAAATATTTCTTAGGTTACTAAAAGTGCCACATGTAAGCACGCAGTATAATCCATACATGATATATTTAAAGTATTGGATTGGCAAATAAGTCCTTTCGGTTTTTATGTTTATATTTATGTCACTATGATACACTTCTTATATGATGAATTGATCCCTATGGTGAATTATTTATCCTGTTTGCAATATGTCAACAACTATGTCTGTTAACTCTTGTTGAGACTAACTTAGTATTGTTTTTGCTATTGCACTGTGAATATGGAAGAAAATATCATTCATTATCGGCATATTATGTTTTATTATTTATTTTAAAAAGGTAAGCGTGCTGCAGAAGCTCATAAAAATGTTTGCACTGTTTATGGGGATGATACCTTAACCGAACGCACCCGTCAAAATTAGTTTACCAAATTTCATTGAGGAAATTTTGACATCAATGATGCTCATCGGTTTAGTCGCCCATATGAAATTGTAACGAGCAATGTTAAGGCCATTGTTGATCAAAATCCCACCTAATCAGTGCGAGAGATTGCTATGGCCCTAAATGTGTCGCATGTTTCCAGGCTTAATGTTTGGTCCCTCACATGATTTTTTTTTTGAAAATCACAAAAAATGTTATAACTTCAATACGACTTTAGCTGTCTACACGAAATTTAGCTGAAATTTAGTGCTATATAAACTATTCAAATTGACATCAAAGGAACCTTCGTAAACAAACTACATATAGAGATAAAAAATAATAACCTAAAGGAGTTTTTGTTTATTTATTCCTTATGCAGTAATTAGGTAAAAAAAAACAAAAACATTTTTACAGCTTTGAAGAGCAATAATTCCGTTTTCCAACAGATATAATAACATCGAATTTGGAGAACATCCTGAAGAGTTATGAATGATCGGAAGGCTGTTGTGTTCCACCAAGACAACACTACACTAGACCCCACACCTCATTGTTCACTTGCAATAAATTTAGCCTTGAACGGGACCTTTTGTCCCACCCTCCCTATTCACCAGACCTATCTCCAAGTGACTACAATTTATTCCGGTCTCTGCAGAACTCCATGAATGGAAAGAAATTCCAAAGGAAGAGAACATCAAAAACCACTTGGATCAGTTCTTGAACAATAAACTCCAGACATTCTATGAACATGGCATTATGCAGTTAGTTGAAATATGGTAAAAAGTCATATTAAATAATGGTAAATATATATTTTAGATTAAAATAAATTTTATGTCTATATTACATTGAGTTTTATTTCATCCTAAAAAACCGAAAGGACTTATTTGCCAATAATAGTAAAATAACAATGATAATAAAATAGTAGAAGAATCAACACACGTGCTTCCACAATATGAGCTCAATTCAATTAAATCTGAGGTGAGTGAGATCTCTGTGATTTGTCGATGTTTTGGAAGTTTGATACATCTTAAATAAGTTACGAAAATAATTTATTATAAGCCTTTTTCGCTAAGACAGAAATAGTTCATTTCAAAGGACAATTTAAAATTAAGTTTTTTAAATAAATCATAAGATTCTTTCCAAAAAGAAATTCAAAATTTCTCTTTGTGATATTGTGAATCGAAGACTTTTACAATAAATTGAGGTTTGTTTGTTTTTAATATGCAATAAATGATACTTGAATATCTTAATAAACAAATGGTAAAACGCTAATATTCCATAAGTAAAACCTACTCAGTGAGATAAATGCAACTGACTACCTAACGACCATTGATATTAAATTTGAAACAAGAAATAATCAACTTCCTCTTTTGGAACGGTTTGGGCAACCTTATACAATACCCTCAAGATAATAATAAAGACTGTGTTTTAAACAATTACAATTAACTGGGGAGGGGGGGATTAATCAGATTTGATGTTGCTAACGAATTTAAAAAATCGTACAAGGAAAAGGGATATTGTCATAAGTGGAATTAAACTATTCGATGAGAAAAAATAATTCACCTACCTGACACGTGCACGTCATTTCGATCACTATCCATGAGATGAAACTTTTGACCTCGCTGGATTACACATCCACACGCCATCCCCTTTGCATTGCTGGAAAACAATTCAGAGGGCAATTACGTCGTTTTTAATAAAAAAAATGTATTTTAAATTAATACAATTACTATTAATGGGACGGTTTATAATCATATCCCGAATGGTAAATATTTTTGCATTAGTGTAAGTCGATAATATCTTCAAGCAACCGAAAGTAGGTTAATTTATACCTCTATGCAAGAAAATCGATTAAATTAAAATTAGTTAAGACTAAAATGCCGTAACCGATAATTTAATGAGTCATTCAAATATTCTTTCTTTTCTTTTTAAAAATATTTCAGAATATGTATTCAGCCTCTGAATTGTTGAAAATAAATGGTAAGATAATTCTGAGTATCAATATCTAATAACTTCAAATTTAATTAGAATTAAAAAAAACAAATGAATCCTAAGGCGCATTTCGAAAAATAGAGAATTGTGAAACAAATAAATGTATTAAATTTATTATTATCAATTTCCCAAGTGATTTAAGTTAAATTTAATTTTTAACATAAGAGTGTAGTTGTTCACAGTTTTGTCCTACCAAATAAGAAAGAAAACAAACTACTGGAAAATTGAGGACCAAACAGACCAGCACTATCATTAAGATATTATTCCTCCAGATTAATATAATAAAAAAAAAAATTTTAAGTAATCCTAAAACTTTATTGTTTTACTAGTTCACTTTCGCTACACCAAGACGGCGGACCATTTCAAGATCACCCAAAGCATGCTAATCATAGATTTTCGATGAATAACGAAAATAACCAACCAAATGTCGACAGTCCTGTTTACATAAATCCTATTAAACGACACAGCTAGTGATGGAGCCATGTAGGCGGAACTGTGATTCTGTCACAGTGACAGGCTCACCGAAATCGCGGTGACAATCACAGTAAGAGCTTTGAAATCACTGTGCTCCAACAGTGACGGTCACTGTAATCGCTGTGAAATCACTACTCCCAGTGAAAATTTATAAATGCTTAATATTATCTTTCATATTCAAGAAAGCCTCACTCAGGGGATTGTAGTTATTAAAAAATAAAAAAAGTATCAACAAAAAATTGACTTTAAGAAATAATAAAGTATATATCAAAGAGGTTAAAAAACTGTAGTACAATATTGAATGCAGTATCTTCGAAGAGGAAGGAATTATTATTGAATATTTAATAGTTTAATAGTTATTGAATAATAATAGGGGCTTTCGGGCTGAAGCTCCCCCCCCCCAAAATGGTAAAACATAACCACGTTTTATGGAAAAAAAAAATTAAAAAATACCTCTTAAAGTATTATTGTTGGTGTAATTACATTTAAAAGGACTTAAGGAATCACTTAAACCCCATTTCATATAGGTAGTTAGTTTCTTTCTGTTTTTCCAAAGTAAATATCGTTATTTTTATGAAAAAAAAGCTTCCGGGCTGAAGCCCCCTCCCCCAAAATTAAATCCTGGATCCGCTAGTGAAAGAAGGAGATGGTCCGGGGTGGCGGTCGTATAGGAATGATGTCATGAAACGGGTTGATCCTATTCAATGTACAGACGAAACCTTTATTTTATTTATATTGATGTTCTTTAACCTATAAACATATGTTTATTATTAACATTTATTATCAACATTAACCGAGATCTCTAGTCAAATTATTCAAGAATTCATAACTTTGGTTCAACTCAATATTTTGTTTTCATTTAAAGTCAAGAATAAGTCATTGCTGAGCTTACCCCTGACAAAATTTCGTTGCAATGCGAACATACAGACAGACAAAATTTTTTTAAAAAGTGTATTTGGTGTCTGCAATGTATAAAACGGATAGATGTCATAAAACGGGTTGATTGTACTCAATGTACAGACAAAATCTTTATTTTATTTATATAGATAAAGTTTTAATACGTAAACTGGGATTTCACAGTGACGGTGTAGCCAAAAAGCCGTTGCATACTTATCACCTGAAAAAAAATCACTGTGATTTTCCCGGAGCTGTGACGAAAAATCTCAGTCCCACCCCAACACTAGAAATAGCTACAATGACATTTAGAAAGTTTGATTGTATTTTGTAGTATTGTATGTATTTTCGCCTTCATAGTAAGTAAATATTAAAATCTATAATAGGGAAAATATCTTCTTTTGTAATTTAAGTTGATATAGCTTGTTTGTTTTCTACAAAAAATGCTAAAATTCGCAATTAAATTTAAATTCTCATCTTCCCCTTCCGACGGATATAGTATAATAAAATAGAGAATATATTTTTTTTTTTTTTCTGTGAAAATATTTAACGTCGTAATTGTGGTTATCGGAAGTCACGGGCGGATCTACGGGAAGAGGGCTTTCAAGCTGAAGCCCATCCCAAAATGGTTAAATATAACCATGTTTTATGGGAAAAAAACAATTAAAAAATACCTCTTAAAGTATTATCGTTTGTGTAATTACATTTAAAAGGACTTAAGGAATCTCTTAAACACGATTTCATATAGGTAGTTAGTTTCTTTCTGTTCTTCCAAAGTAATTATCGTTATTTTTATGAGAAAAAAAAGCTTCGGGCTGAAGCCCCCCCAAAATTAAATCCTGGATCCGCTAGGGTCCGAAGTTAATAATCCTATCACGGGATCTGAGAGAATGATTATCAGATCACAATAATAAAAATAATGTTTTATTTTTTATTGTTGTTATTAATTAACTACTATTTTCAAATTATTGAAAAAATTATTCTTTTGGACAGATTCGGGTATTTCCGGGAATCTAAGAGTAGTGTGATCTTGAAACAGGCCGCCATCTTAGAGTAACAAAAGGGAATTAGAACCCTTGTACAAAAACAAAATTAAATTATTAGTCACAAGCTAAATGATTTGAATATGGATTGTTGCAATACTTTGATATTTTGTGAGTAGAATATAATAAGATAAAACCAGGACAAGAATTTATAGAAAGTAAAGAGTATAGATGAATGTCATGTCTGAAAAAACAAAAATTAGGATTATAAGGTAACTTCCATAACAAGGTAAATACGAATTGAATGTTTGAAACAAATTCTAATGACCCATCGCTTGCTTTTTTTTTTTTTTTTTTTTTTTTTTTTTTTTTTAGCAATTTCAATTACTGCTACTACCTGACTTAATGCTGATGTAATGGAATAAATAATTATGTGCCACAGTTGGACTCCAACTAGTATAAAGTATGTATATTTAAGGACAATTCTTGTTATCATTATGATTAACAATGTGGGAACACGAAGAAACAAAAAAACTTTTTCATACTAATTGTTTAAATAGATTTATATTTGGATCATACAGCACCCAATGGAGGCATGTGTTTTGAAACTTGGTTTATTTTATTTTTTTAACTTAGAATATAAATTGATAATAACAGGAAAATTACAGATAATTTAAACTAAACTAAAACATGTACAAGTTATTTAATTTTAAGTCCTAAAATATGATACTACTGCAATGTTAATACTATTCGTTCAAAAAAACTGCTATATTAAATTAATAAATTATTTTTTAAAAATATCACTAGTAGTCAAAACTAAATAATAATAATTTTCTTATAATATAAATTTGTTTTCCATGGGTAATACTGTTGTGTGTCTTTTTTTGTATACTTTTAAATGTCTGCTTCGATTGACCAGCCCTGATGAAGGCCTGACTTAAGGCCAAAACGTCGGCAAATATAAAAATAATTGTAATTATTTATTTTTACCATTTTCTATTTTGACCGATCATCCCAACCATTCTGCTCTTCAATTATTCACTACCGTCAATCATCAACCCACAATCGGTATAACAGTTGGACATTCTTCAGATTGATGAGTAATTTGTTGCTGAAAATTATGTGGTTTGTTTTTATGTCCAAATAATTAATTTAGGAATTTTTTTTTTTATTCTACACCTTTGTCATTGACAATAAGGCCATATTGCTTTTTGCAGCTTAATTTACTTTTCCCATCACAACTTTGCTATAATCGCACTCTCCAATTTGGTATTTTGGCTTCTACAGCAACTACCTGTGTCCATCGCCTCAGGAATGTTAATGAGGATGTCAGACAGACTGGGACACACTGCAAGGTGCAGGTCATCATACATCTCGATAGAGGAATCACAGAATTTCCAAGGTGCAAAGATCTTTGAAGGTAAGTGTATCCCGTCATCATGACACAAAGATTTTCTTACTGTGTGTTTGCATAGTTTCAGGAATGTCAACGCCCTTTTAGAAATGAACTAGAAAATTTCAATTAAATAAATTACATTGACTAAACAACTGTTTTCCTATTGTTTTTTGAGATTGCGCTTAGCTCTGCATACTTGTTTTATAATCTACATAAAATCTGAACAAAAATTGACTAATACATAACTCTTGAATGAATCAAATCATTATTATGCCGAAGGAAAAGAGTTTAATTAAATTATATTTTGTTTATTTCGTACCTAAAAACTGGAGTCAAATGCTAAGTTTAATTTCTGAAAAAAGTCATAACTCTTCCCATGAATCTTGCTATAATTTTACATTAATATCTTTCCACAATTTAAATGTCTTATCGTTTATAAATATAATCCCTCACAATAGTCGAGCATTCTTAGACCTCTGGCAAACATACATTTTGTTTAGAAATGTATGAGTTTTCTGTAAACCATGCAAATTATTCAAAATCTTGGGTAAATCCAAAAGGACGGAAAGATTTCCGACATTTCAGAAAATTTGATTAACAAAGGTCAGTTTATAGTAGGTGTTTTAACACTCTAAATGAAATTAATTACAAAAGAAAGACCAATGTCTCCACACTTAAATTAATTGCCTCCCTTCGGGCAATGGCCTTGTTTATAGTATTTAATAAATACTAAATTTATAAGTCTGATAAATGCATGGAGTTTAATATGAGGTTACGTTACCAGAATCAACATATAGAGAGCTATTTAATGTGAAATAATAATTGTATATGCTTTTCAAAATAATGTATCAATGATATCAAATTCAAAAATAATTCATTAAATTGATAAAATAAATTTTAACATATCAATTCATATTACCTAAATATTAATATACTTCAATTTTTCTTAAAACTTTGATGTTATGGAAACATTAATAGAATATTCTTATAATGTTTTGAATTTGTTATAATGCAAAAATATTGGCTAATTTTATTATAGCTAATGATTGATTACAAAAAAAAAAAAAATTTTATTAAGGGTCTAATGCCCTTATTTATTTCAATTATAACAGCAAGGGTAGGTTTTCTTAAAGGTTGCCAACATCAAGTTAACCTAAGTCTAATCTCACATTTAAAGGTTATCTAAAGAGAAATGTTATAATTTATTTACAATAATTAAATATTAAATAGTCGATACGTTAATTCAACTATCAATCTTTAAGTTATAAAACCAACCAAGAAATCTAAAAAATTCAACACCTATAAACGCCCTTAAAAAAAAAAAAAGCACTATACTTTCTGGAGATGTTAAGAGCATAAACATTCACATCAACAAAGAATTTTATAAATCATATTTAATTGTTTAGTGTAAACCTACCTGTTCTTTAATAAGTACATCTTTGTGACCCGGAAGATCCATTTCTTCTAATTGAAGCACAGTCTTCTCACTTACCTATGAAAAATTTGCATGGCTTAGTAATAAACTATTAACGAGAAAGTTCCATTTTTTTTTTTTAAACAAAAAATAATTGTCATTACATTTTCCATAAAGCCGTTAGAACTGGGGTCTAAAAGATTCATAGTCATAGCCTCTTTGCCTTCGACTTTTTTTCTAACTATATTTAGCTGTTCCATGAGAGAACCGCATTTAGTAGATGCGAGTTGCAAATGCTCTTGAAATGCTACAAAGCCAATAATAGAATTCAAATAATATTGAAAGAATCTTCAATTTGAAGTTAAATCGCATAAAATAGAAAAACTTGCCTGCAAGTACACTTCGCGGCTTTGACTCCATGCTTTTCGATGTTACTGGTGATGTCTAGAAACTATTTTAGGGTTAGGAAACTCCCTAAAAACTCTATAGCGATGACAAGATCAGCATAAATCAGCTTCATAAATAAAAGAGCCCATAGCTAAACAAAGATATTGTAAAACTGGCAAATGCTATATGCATTTGGTGATCTACTGAAGCTATGTAATTAATAAATATACTGCAACATACAGTTTTCTATACTAATTTAAAAAAATTAAGATTCTATATACTTAAATGAGCCATGTGACATTCATATGGCTACCTATATCTAAAACTAGGGTCATTTAATCTTAGCCACATGTTTCCACATAAAAACAACTATGTTTAATCTATATTGTTTTTCTAGTCTAAAAATTGCTGAATACCTCTATGGCTTACAAGGAAACAAAACGGTCTACTTTTATTTTATTATTTATTTATTCTTATTATAAAAATAGACCTTATTTTGTTTTTTTCCTTAGATTCTATGCTAAAATACAACTTAACCTCTAATGTTGGAGAATATTCCTAACCTTAAGAAAGCGAGAAATTTATTTCAAGTTATATTAAATAATTTATATAATTACTTTTATAAGATAATAGCACATTTAAATTATTAGAAAAACCAAATGATGTAAATACTTCAATAATCTCTTGTTTGGAAACATATTACTTATTATTATATATTATTACCCCATACATGGATTAAAAACTTGAATATTCATATAAATAATGAAGATCGATATTAGCTGGAAAAAGAATCAAGAATTAAGAAAAGCTTAAGTTGATGTTTAGAATTTCTGTGATTACTTTTCATATGGTTGGTTCATCATACTCAAATCTCACATGATTTTTTTCTTTCATTAATTTATTTTTAAATCACCTATAAAATAAAATATAGGTTGTAATTAGAAAGGCAGTGTATTCTGTTTTTATGATGCCAATAAATATTTGATAAGATCCAGAGGCAATTAAAGAATGTTTGACAAAATTTCAATAAATTAGTTTAAGAATTAAGTTAAATTTTCTCTTATAATTACACAAAAATAAAATAAAAAAGTAGGTTAGTACATCAAATTCTGACCAAAATCTATATAAATAAAATAAAGGTTTTGTCTGTACATCGAATAGAATCCATCCGTTTCATGATATATTTCATATATTACAGACACCAAACCCACTTTTAAAAATTTGTTGTCTCTGTATGTCCGCATTGTCAAACGAAATTTTGTCAGGAGTAAGCTCAGCAATGGCAAATGATAGACTTTTGAAATTTTGACATAATATTTAGGTTTGCTTGACTTAAAAGATAGGCTTTAAATGAAAACAAAATGTTGAGTAGAACCAAAGTTATTTTTTATTCTTGAGTAATTTTTTTAGAGATCCCTGGTTAGGCAGTTACTTCGATTCTCATCTCAATCTAGCCACATTTAAAAGTTGTAGTATTCAACTGATGAAAGAAATTATCACAACTCAATAGGAAAAATCCAAAATACCGAACACCTGTAACGACCAGCTAAGTCACAAGTACCCGCAGTTCACTTACTTTGGATCCCATGAGTCAGCGAAAATAAATGAAAGATTGTCCGCTGCGAATTCGTTGGCTACTTTGGACTACTGAAGACCTTTTGAAGCAGACTTCTGGGCAGGCAAACCAAGCTTTCTCTTTATAAGACTTTAATCCGTCCTGTTCTCACCTATGTCTTACACACATGGACCATTTCCAAAAGTTATGAAAAGGACCTAATGATGTACAAAAAAACTTGCCGAGCGATGTAGGATTAAGACAGTGAGTTGTACCAAATTTACGAGGCTGATGTGGTCAGATCCATTAAGCTTGGGAGACTCAATCGGGCTAGTCATGTGGCTACGACTCATCCTTCGCTCATGAAAAAGAAATTCTGAGGAATGTTTCTGAAGAGGTTCTTCACAGTTCCCGAAGAGCCGGAAGATCAATGTTAAGGTGGGTTGAGGCAGTGGCAGCTGACGCAAGAAACTTCGTAGGGATTATCAACTAGAAGGCGGCAGCACAAGACAGAGCCAATGGCAGAGGCTTATTGAGGAGACCAAGATCCCCTCAGGATTGAGCTAAGAGCCACGAAGATAGATAAATAGATAAGTAATTGTGGGTAAATGGTTGACTGTCGTGAATAATGAAGAGAAGAATAGTTAGGGTTATCAGTCAAATAAGAAAGCAAAAATAAATGATATTTATTTTGACATTTGCCGACGTTTCGACATGAAGTTCAGGCCATCATCAGGGCTGACTGCAAAGATGTAAATCGAAGCAATGGGATGTCTGTGGAAGAGATAAATAATAATAAGCAGTTCAAAGTGTGGAATGATGAAGTAAACATAATCAAAAAATGTGAAATAAGTATTAAAATGGGAATCTTAGAATAAAATGTAAAACAGGGGGGAAAAAGAGAAATATGAAGTTATATAAGAAATGGAAATAAATAGTAAAATTAAGATATTGTGAATAGAATAGTTAGATATAAAATTGAGATATTGTAAAGTCTATCAAGATGTACAGACAACGTATAATATAATAAAGAGTTAAAACAGAGAAAAGGAATGAAAGGAAGGAGGAAAGAAACTGAGAACGCTGAAATAAGAAAGATGTCAAAATAAATATTATCATTTATTTTTGCCTTCTTGACTGATCACCCCTATCAACTATTCTTCTCTTCATAAATAGATAAGGGTGCCAAGTATTCTTTTTTTAATCCTACAAGAATGTGCAAAATTTTTGTAGACTGAGACGTGTGTCTTGGAAAAAAAAACTTCAAGAGCCACTGGTCTACTCAATGTTTCATATTACAATATTCTGAAGGAAACCACATACAAAATAAAAACTCATTCCCCCAAATTAAATTAACTACACCCGGTTTTAAGTAATTATCCTACTTTTATAGGTTTACTGGTTGGTTGATTTATTGGTTTACACTTTGGGTAAATTTATTTATGAGTGTCGTAGATTATAAAAATTAATTTTGATTGAGAGGATCCAACAATAAAGAAACAAACATATGTTTTTGAGCGTAGAAGAGGAGTTTTATGGCGATAAATTGTAGAATTATTATGCCCCATATGTGTTTAATTATTTAAAACTACAATATTTTAAAAGGAATTAAAATAAAGAAACGAAAGATTAGAAAAATATAAAGATATATTTATTCATTCATAAAGTATTACAACTTTTAAGTATTTATAATCAGCAGCAATTTACTTAATTTATATTATAAAAATAAAGAGAAAACGTAATAAAAAATAAAATTTTGTTTAATTAAAAAAAAAATATCTATCCACATTTCATTTAGTTGTTTATACCATTTTCCGCTTGAATTCTATGTGCCCTAATTTTCATTCACTGAATACCAATAAAAAAAATATATACATCAATGAAATAGTAGTACAAATATTTACTGAGGAACATTTTAGTGAATGAAAATTAATTCGGTTCATAGTTAAGTTACAAATAAGTAACTTAAATTAAATTACAATTATTGATGTCAGTAATAAAAAAGCTTTTGTGTGAAATTTTAAAACTGAGATTAAGAGAGTTTAAAAGTTTTTTAATTTTTTATTCTGGCAAAATTATCTGAAATCTACAAATCCATATTTGTATTGGATATAGTGCTTTTCAAACGACCTCCACAATACAAAACTTATAAAACACCAATAAATTTATTTTTCAATATAATATTTTATCCTAACTGATTGGAATGTAATACTGACCGAAATTTTGCTTAACAATAAAATTAACAAGATAAATATGGTTAAGTACCTTAAAATTAAAATTTCATAAGGAACAAAAATTTACACATCATTATAAAAATAATTTTAATTAAGTTTGAGCTCTTTAAAAATGGTGGATTTTATAGTAAAATAAAATATATAAAATCAATTTTCAAATTGTTCATACTATATAAATTTTAATTTTAATTAAAAAAATACTTAATTTAAACTATACATTCACTATAAACACCACAAAGAAAGCATTTACTAAAAAATATAATCATAGAATTCATAACTTAAAATATAAATCTACGGCCGCTACCACGCACATTAAGGATTTATAATATTTATAAAACTAAAGATCTGTTACAGATATTTTTTGTTTTTTTAAATTAATGTTCAAAAATAAATATAAATAAAAAGCTGATGTTTTATTATAAAGAAATTCAAATTATGAAAATTAATAACATTACCTGAAATATAACTTTATACATACATGATTACTCAATAAAAAAAATAAAACATTGGATCAAGAATAAGTTAAACAAGTTTTTCATTTACTTTTCTTCTGTTTTTCAGATTTCGTACTATCTTTGAGCACCTTGTATTTTTTATCGACTTCTTTCAGCTTAGGAGTTTTACGCAGTGATACGTATAATGCAAAAATTAAAACAGCAAATATACAAAAGATAATTAAACCAGTAATTGGGGTAGATTCTTTCAGTAAATCTACAACTTGTTGCACAAAATCGTCGCTGAAAACAAAAAAATAGGTTTCATAATTTCAAGTTTTGTAATTCTAAGTAATAATAATCATAGATAAATTATTGTACTCACAACGGAGATTTAGGAAGAGGGACTTTTTCTGCTTTTGCATTCTTATACCAATCACTCGCAAATGCAACAAGAGATGGAACATCATATTTCGGTATGTTGTAACGGTACATCTTACCCAAGCGGAGACTACAATGTAAAATTCATTATTAATAATAAAAAATCAATTGTTATTGTACAGATTTTATTGAATGATTAGAACAAGTCAGTAAATTTAAATTTAAGAATACTATTTAGATTCTTAGAGTACAACCACATAACTAATTTTACTTAATCTAGTTAACCTTTTATCGACGATGAGCGATAAGAGATGAGATGACTTAAGGACGGTATTAGCTGACTTTATTCACCGTTTTAGCCTTTTTATTTACGGCATCATTCCAAACTTTTGTATTTTTTTTTCTTCTAACTTTTATACAATCGAAATGTATTTTTAGAACACGACCTACTTACTTTCGCTTACCTATATATGAAATATATAGTAAGGGACAGTATTGCGATCGTGAAAATTTTCGAATCTGAGTTTTCAATGGAAATATATGTTTTGAGGTCTCCTGAGTCCGAATAACCAAGTCCCGCATAAGAGTGTGTGTGTATGTGGGTGCGTGTGTCTGCTTGCATAAGACAGGTCTTGCTCAAAAACAAAAAGTCATATGAAAGTGAAATTGCATATTTAAGGTTTGTATATACCTGAGACGTTACAACAATTTGTTCGTCAAAATCGGTTAACTAGCAGTGGCACTTTGTATCATCAATGAAACACATTTTTACTATTTTCTCGAAAACGGCTCCAACTATTTTAATTAAATTTATTATATCAGTGCAAAATTAAGTAGTTTTTAATATTATGTAGGTTTTATTCTCATTGATGTTCTCTAACAGGGCTTAAATGGTTAATTTTCAATATTAACTTAAATAAAACTTATTTTCCTTCTGGATACATTACCTTAAAATGACAAAAAAGTTTTAAAATTTATAACTCTAGCTAACAGCTCAGATCTAAATTTTCTTAAAAAATAACAACATAGATCATATAATACAATGATTGTATGACTTTTACATGGAATATGGATAGGAGTTTTGTTTTTTTGTTTTTTTCGAATGGCAACACTGTACATAAGGTCTACAGAATGATCTCCTCAATTTTATTCCTTCTTTCCTGTAAAGTCGAGAGACCTATCGCTGCTTAAACATATCCTAACTACAGAAGGTATGGGAACTAATCTCTAGTCCTTCCATTAATCCCCAGTAAAGTCTGGAAGTAGATCCTTCCGCTTTAAACTGTCTTAAATTTTCCTATATCCAAATATTAATATTAATGAGCAAGTAGTTTTCTAAACTTCAGTGGTATCTGAAGATTAACCCCTTTTTCTCGCCTCAATGTGGTTCAAAACGTGATTCTTTTGAGATCTTAGACTATTTACAATACAAAAGTAAAAAGCAAACACAATAAATAGACATTACTTACAATAGGAACGTAGGCACTTCAGCGATATTAAACCTTCTAGCAGTTACAGCAGATGTTTTTTTATTGATCCGAACGACGTTTAACCTAGTCTTCAGTTTAGCACCGACGGCTTCCCAGCGAGCTTGTAATCTTTGACAGTCAACACAGTCATTTGTATAACTGAAAAAAAAAATAATACATGTATATAAACAAATTTAATGGACTTTAAGGAGATATAGAATACTTATCAGTTTTAAATTATTAGTTTAATTTAATATTCACATCACACACACTTATACAAATATTCTTTTTCTTCCATTGGCTCGACAGACTATTACTGTTACCTGGCCTCCTCGATTAACTTCCCTCCGCCTGCACACTGTTGGGTAGAAGTTCTCCAGTCCCTAACCCCCCAGGATCATCCATTACAGCATCCATCCATCTAAGAAGCGGTCTTCCTCTACCTCTGTTACTATGAACGGCTTCACTCATTATTATTCTGGAGATCTCCTCTAATATTCGGGCTGCACAGCCCGCTCACTTAAATCTTCCCAGCCTTATATGCTCCACAAAGTCAGGTTCACCAAGGAGGTTATATATTTCTTGATTGCCCCTCCTGAGGTATGTTTGACCGACTCTCCAAGATCCAAAAATGCACCATAGAATTCTTTTCTTAAAAGCCTGCAATCTTAGCTCATCTCATTTTGACATTGCCCATGACTCCGAGCGTATGTCGGAACTAATCAGATCAGAACTAATCACAACTTTGATTCTATGAGTTTTCCTCTTAGGGGACTCATTTCTATGTTACAGGGCCATTTATAGTAGTTTGTCTCAGTTGTTGACAAATTTGGTAAAAATCAGCATTGGCTGACAGTAGTTTTATACCTTACCATGTAACCAAATTATAAAGTTTATGTGCTCGTTCGACGCACAATTACACGTTCTTTAATTTATTGAATAGTACATTTTTCGCTTTGACGCATCGGTTAGAAGTTATAGGTGAATAACCAAAAAAATACTTTTAAATTCTGACTTTTTTGGCAGTAAAAAGTTTTCTCTTGGTGGCCCACGTTAGCAATTTTATTTTTTACATGTCCAAACCCATATATACAAGTTAAAAAAATAAAAACTTTTCTCACATTTTTCGCAATGGATTTCCCATATCGATCCTCAAATTACTGGCCTATATTCTTTAAATCAGCCACCATTTTTTAAAGCAGCGGCTCTGGAACAAGGTTCTTTTTACTTAGAATAACATACATTTTCATAATTTACGATCAAACCTTCGCCTGCGATGAGGTCGATTTTTGGGACCTGGCTCCAGGGCTAATTGTGCCACCAGGAAGGTCTTCCAACCCCATGTAATGTATAAGATTGATTCACAGCTAATGTAACAGAATAAATAATTACTTGCCTGAGCCCGATTCGAAACTGGCACTTGGAGCATAGGATATATATACTGTAACAATTATATATATATATATATATATATATATATATATATATATATATATATATATATATATATATATATCACATTAAAAAATAAGTAGGAATAAGAATAGTGGAGGGAAGAATGCAATCCTCACTCTCTAGCTTCAACCCAGTATTGTTTCTGGCCAATGGCCAAAGCCAGGATGGTTGGAAAGTTATTTGTCAGTTCCGGGGAGTGCTCAAGTTAACATCTCTAGTCTTTAGAAAAGATATACTAGATGAAGACCACCTTTAGTAGATGGAGCAGCCTACGTTTGGAGCTGCCATAAAGATAGTCCAATTGAACAGTATTTTATACATGTATTTATAATAATATATATTATATTAACATAAATTCAATTTTATTTGTCATAAATGTTTTATTTGTTAAATATAATATAAAGTGTATCGATGTCATTTATTCGATCCTAAGAATTCATCGTACATGAACCAATTAAGCCCTCAGCTTCCAGGAAAGCCTTGTTAATAATTATAATTTTTAATTTTAATTCAATTCACAATTTTAATAAAATCAGAACATGTATATGTATTGTGTATGAAATATGTACGAAATTCCAATTTAATGTTGGTAGAAGTGAGAGAAATAGTGAGTATTTATATATATTTAAATGTTATATTCACTACTATATATTTGTTCTAAAAATATACTCATGGCACTTACAACATAATAAACCAGTCACCAGTCGTTGCTCCAGATGCTGCTTGTGTCAAAAATTCAAAATTGTCATCTGATAATTCCCTTACAACTGGATCCTTATTATCAGAAAATACATGTAATATTAAGTCTTCACTGATTTCGCCTGTAATAATCATATATAACCTTAATAATAGCCAATATAATTTAAACCATTTATATCGACAAACAAATTGAGGTAGATATAAAGCCATATAATACCATCATATAGTAGAGGAACCCCATGGCGGAAAAACACAAGTGAAGGTTCTTTACTCGGGTTATATAACTTAACTAAGTAGCTGTTCTCTGCTTTTACGACCCAACAATTCAGTGAATCGACTAAGTCTTCTCGTATATTGATAAGAGCACTTTCGAATTTATCACAAGCTTCACAATTAGGTTTGGCTGAAATAAAATCACACAAAAATACATATTTTAAAAAGAATCTAAGCGTAAATAAATTGATTTCTCTCTAATAATTGCAGTTAATTAATCAATATACATTGAACAAAATGTACTTTCATGTTTTAAAACTAAATTTTGGGGCAGCCCTTATATGAACATATATCACTTCTTAATTTAGTAAAAATAAAATACAGTAAAACTTTTAACACTAAGAAGGGGTATACAAGAGTTCATAAAAAAAAATAAAAATGTGTTCATGCCAAAATTAAAACAATTGTTCGGGTCAAAACGTCCTGTAACCCAATAAATATTAATGTGACTGACATTCCTGATAATTTTGTTTCATCCATAGTTCTTGTCTTGACATCCCAACAATAGAACTGATGATGACCCACATGTTTGGGTCGAAAAGTCGGCTAACCCAATAAATATCATTGTGACTGAAATTTTAGACAATTCGTTTCATCCACATAATTGAGCAGTCAACTATTTGCCCACTTCTAAATTAAAACAAGTTTATTAATTTTTAAAAAAATTATTAGAACTATTTTGTATAGAATTGCAGAAATTTATAACATCACTGAGGTTTAAATTACTTGAAGACTGCAGTGGGTCCTCCCGTTTCAATGTTGGAGCATGGAGTAGAGGAACAGCCCTACGATGACGGAAGTCACTCTTCACAACAGACCACCAGAAATTAAAGAAATAAATGCTAGAAAATTGTTGTACTGTAAAACTGCCACACCTGTTTAACCCTAGAACGACCCACTGGGGTGTGACACACCCCACAACATTTTCAATATTAATTTACTTTTAAATAAATTGCTCTTAGGCCAAGTTTTTTCATGTAAATAAACATCATACATAGCCCGACTAATTACAGTCATTAGCAATCCATCGTTGAGCTTTTATCATTATTGGGAGTTATCGAAAATCACTATGGGGTATCCCACACCCCAGTGCATTGTCTACGCAACTCTCCTGGGTGCCTCACATCTCAGTGTGCTGTCTATGCAACTGTTCTGTGGATTTCATATCCCAGTGTTTTCTTTGTCATTTTGAAACTTTGAATAATTCAGGTGTTGAGTTCTAATGTTATATTTGTTATTCCAGTCCACTGGTGTTCCTGAAGGTGTAGTATCCTAGTTTCTATCCTCTATACAGTTTATACAGCTGACATCCCTACCTATCCCAACACTGTCATCACCATATATGCCAATGACACATGTATCCTATCAGTAAATAATGACCTATCAATTGCATCCCAAATGCTTCAATCACACATCATAAATCTTGAAGAATGGTGTCGAAACTGGAGAATTAAAATAAATCCCACCCTTCGTCGTAAACCAATGACTTCCTGTCCTACAGTTTCCTTTAACAATATTCCACTTATTCCTGTTGAGCGAATTCGCTACCTAGGACTCTATCTTGACAAATGACTAACTTGGAATCCTCATACTAGACTGAAATGGCAAAGAAACCGCTTGATGTTTCCGATTACTTCAGCACTTACCAGACAAACGCATTTAAACTTCCAATTAATTAATAAGGCCTATTTGGACTTACGGAGTTGAGCTATGGGGCTCCACTAAACCATCGAATTCATCTCGTATCCAATCCTTACAATCCAAAATCTTTCATAAAATTCTCAATGCTCCCTACTTTGTTACAAATAAAACCATACATAATGACCTTAATGTTTCTTTTGTTTCAAATCTGGGCCAATCCAGATACTTATCCATAAACTTCAGAATCATCCCGACCATCTCGTTTCTAACCTTGCTTCATCTTCAATTCCTGATAACCCTCAGAGATGTATGAAAAGAAGATGGCCCCGTGTCTCCTAATGTAGACATATCATTAGAGTGCTACCATTGGGTAGTTACTCAGCAAGTGATTTCATGCCATTATATCCATATGTTCAAATTTACTAGATGTATTGATTTAATACAGTTGTAAATATCATTAAGAAATAATAAAAATATATATATATATATTTGTTAATTAGTGCTATTTTCAATTCAGAAGGTAATGTATAGAAACTATTTTTTTAGTATGACAACTACCATAAAAATGTATTCTTCTGTTGCAGAAATCTATAAATTGTTATGGGAGTTAGGAGATGAAGAAAAGATACATGGAGATACATATTAAATAAAGATGGCATAGTCCATCTCTCCGATTTTTCTTTGGAATGTTGAACCAAGCTGGTACAAACAGCATGATATTGTTCAGTTTAGTTAACTGGGAAAAGAAGATGAAATGTTAACTTTTTACTTTATGTTAGCATATAAAATACATTATTTAAGGTTACCTTTATTTATTTATACAGAGTTTATTTATTTTTTTGTTTTCCTGATTGTTTAGCTTATTTCTGAAAAGTATTTGAGTCTTGCAGAGCATGAAAATTAAATTTTACGATAATTTAAAGTCTAGAGTGTACCACACCCAAGTGCCAGAATTTTTTTAAGTATGTCATTTTAGGGTTAACATCACACTACTGGAAACACCATATGAGCCTTAATAGCGTAATACATGAGATGGTGCATAAATAAATAAAGGACAATTTGGTAGATGAACTCATCTCAGATATGTCAAGGCATCATAACCTTAGCAACCTCAAATCTAGTGTTGCCAGATCAAATAAGGTCTAGATGGGTTAAAATATATTTCATGGCTACAGCCATGGTATTCTTTAGACCGATAAATGAAATTATGTTATGAATGTAACCTAATATCATGTGAAAATAAATTATGCTGCTATATTCATTTAGTATAATCTAGTGTGAATGTATTCTGAATTATTTGTATAAAATATCTAAGCATTACTATAAGAATTTAAATGTCCATCACCATATTACCATAATAATCTGTTGACATAGTAATATTATAATGAAAACAATAATAGAAAATAAAATCAGGAAGTTAATGAGCTAAAAATATAGATGCAACATTCAGGTTGCATAAGAGTTATTTCATGTTGTTATATATTCTTTTAAAATTTGTTTATAATTATTTTCTTAAATTAACAAATGTACTCACTGAAAAGAACCACCACATAATTTTCATTTCTAATGAGCACAAGAAGCTCTTCTTCATCGACTTTTTGCAAAAATGATTGGTCAGAATACGAAAATTTCAAAATGAAAAGAAAAAATATTAACTTATAAATCATTTTATCAGTGTTTATTCTCTAAATTTTTCCTTTCAAGGACTTATTATCTCATTTAGTTTTATAGATGAGTTCTATATTTCTTGTTTAAAAGTACAAATTGTTGTTCCTATTTTAACATCTTCTGATATGTCACTGCTCACGTATAAATGGACAACACTATATTTTACTCCCACAAAAATTCAAAATTTGAACCATCACTAACTCTTCATTTGACAAATAGAACATCCAGCGAGCTAATTTAAAAACATTGAGTTATCAGAGGAAAAAACTTGCCTGTAGTGTGGCCCCAGTATAATACATATTTGCTAGATTGAAAAAACGGAGATCGAAGACAATTTTATTCTTCTCGGCTAATAAATAATCAGGGTATAATTTGTTTATTTATATTTGAAATTTTTAAAAAATCAATGTTAGATTTCAATTACTTAAGTATAAGCTTAAAAAAGTTTCCGAATATCCCCGATGTTGAGATCTACTATTATCATATTTTCAGAATCTCAATTTTTTTAATTTATAGAGATTATTAATACAGATACACTGCTGTGTATCGATTTATTTCATCCTTGCGTATTTCTTCGATGTGAGTCAATTTTTATGTTTTCTGAGGTGAAATATTTGAAAATATTATGTTCTTAACAGTGTGCCATCGCGTAACAATTATATTATCTTTTTGGATACTTCGATGGAAGTCCATTCTTATGTTAAACAAGGCTTTGATTTTAAGAATAATATCGTCTATAAGATTGCGCCATTGCATACCGATTTACTCGATTTTTAAAAAAATATATTCTGAGGTGGAACCATCGTGTATTACTTCATTTCAACTTTTCGGATTTCTTCGATATAAGAGTCCATTCTCGTGTTTTGAAAGATGCAGTATTTAAAATTGCTCCATTGCTTATCGAATTATTTTTAACTTCCATGATTTCTTCAGAAGTTAAGTTATTGGGAGAATTGAGTCCCAAAGTACTCGGTTTTGAACGTGTTGCCTCGATTCCTGCTTGCGTTGATTAATATTTATATCTCGGTGTTTCTGGAAAATTAATCTTGACACTCCCACTCTAGGCTAACCTCGAGGTAGCCATCAGAGGTTGGCTAATAGACAACTGCCACTCAGCTCGTATAAATTGCCACTAATATGTTGCCATATCCAATAGCAACCTTTTAATGTTGTCGACAAAAGTCCTGACCTTATAACGTAGGCCAATTTTTCATTGACTCTGATTTTCATTTAGAACTCGCAAACAGAATCTGAAGAGTTTCGCTTAAAGTGCCCGTTCTTTGGTGAGTGAGAGACGAATTTCAATGCGTAGGTGACTAACGTTCGCTGTCTTACAATTTTATTCAAATTGTTAATAATCATCCGCGATAATAATAACTTATAAAAATAAACTGGTAGAGAGATATTGCGTCATTAACTATACCATACCAGTCCATTGTTTTCTCTAGAGAAAATAGTTTAAGTAAACAAGTTATTTGAGCGATACGATTACATAAGAAATTTGAATGTAATACAAAAGCGAAAACGAGTTGCTTTCATGAACTATCACATCAGAAATATTATGCACAAAAAAAAAAAAAAAAAAAATGCAAAGTTACATAGTAATGTTATTTGTACTAGAGTCGATCGTGTTTTATTTTGACCTTGATTCAGCCAATTAAATAAGCCAACTGTTATGGGATGATGATTTTTATTTCGAAATGTATTATCCAAAATAATTTTGACTTTTAATATAAGAAGCGATTGAAAGGAGGAGCGATAAAATTAAGCTCATCCTTTTGGCAAAAAAAAAACTGTTTGCCCAGATATGATCTCAGTATTCACTTCATTAAACTCAACTTGAACTTACGGGCATATTCGCCATTTACTAAGATCTTCCTCCATGATAACAACAATCCGATCGAATAATTTTGACATCAGAAATGATACAAAATCAGCCGCTATCGCAGATGAAATTATAACGAAGTTGTTAGTAAATTTTCAAAACAACATTAAGAAAAAACTATTATAATTACAACAGATGTTTCAAGATTAATTTAATATAAAATTATTTAACAAATATCATTCATTTTCAACACTACAAAAAAGGATTAGAAGGATCCTTAATAATAAAGATTGTGATAATACGATCTTGTCAATAATATAATAGTTAGCTGAGACTTTACTATTAATAATTTTTACTTACTTCATTTCATTGCTTATTTTTTACAGCTAAGTTTTATTGATTTGAAAGCATTTTTGGGAAGGATATATTGTCACAATTTTAAGATCAATTATTAACATTAACACTACCGTTATTCGTATCGATTACGTAAAGGTATTTATATATTAATGACCAGTTGAACTGCCCCTCCGATATTTTGTTTTTCGCTCAGTTCTTACTTATTTTATTACAAACTCAAGATAATGATGGGAAAACCAGTGTTTCCCAACATATATCGCTTACAAGTTTTAAGGTCGGTATTACGATCGGTCCCTTATTTTTCGTGGAGTTTTCATCATATTAATCATCTGAACACTTAGTACAGATTATAAATACATCCTCTGAAGTCTCCAGAACACCATACGAAGTTGAACAACTTGACAAAACTTATATCCAAAAGTTCCATGCCCTGTGCGGAGCTTTAGATAACTTTGCGCCTAGCCATATTGTATCTCGAAGAAGTACTTTCTCTAGTTACTCTTTTTCAGAATCATCACTCATCAGCCCCTCATTTCATCCTATTTTTCTGTTCAGCTCTTTCCCTTGTTAACGTGTTTGGTACTCCTTCTTTTTATAGGTCAAGCAGTAACGTCTCCAATTGGACCAAAATCACTTCATACGAAGAATAGTTTAGTTTTATGTTTCTATTACAGTCTCTGGAACCGAAAGGTGTCACATACTTTGCCGTACCCGGCGAAACTCCTGTACATATAACGATAGTCACTAGGTAACTAAGGCCCTAGAATGGGCTTCACAGGACTCTCCAATCTTATATCGTCAGCACCGTGTTAATGTAACGAATGTGCAACGTTAAACAGGCTCAAATTTGTTACTCTAACATGTTGCCAACGATTTGGTTGGAGCTGTTTTTTTTTCCGAACAGAAATCAACAAAGTTAATGAATCCAAGATATGATAAGGAGTTTATTTTAAATTAATTATTACCAATTTGATAAGTATAACAAGCATGAACAGAAACCGATATCACTCTTTCAATTAAAAATACTTAAGTTTGATAACAGGATGTTAGAATTTATTCGGCATTTTCTTGTGTTCCACCGATTTCGAAATGTTGAGACGAGGAAACAAGAAGTCAATTTCTATTCTTCACCTAAAAGCATTCATGCCTCGTGAAGAGTTGAGGTACCATTATATTATTAAATGGCACTACATCCCAATTATTTGAGACTTGGCCTGCTCCAGCATGGATCTCCAGTTCTCCCGGTTAGTTGCTGCAGCCTTCCAATTTCTGACACCAAGTAGTCTACATGCATCAGCAGCTACACAGTCCTGCCAGCGCAAACACGGTCTTCCCACTCGTCTATTTCCAAACACAGGCTCATTCATAGCTCTCTTTGGGGGTGCATTCATATCCATCCGCGCGACATGTAGTTGAGGTACCATGCAATCCGAAAATATCCATCTTATTTCTAATTGAGGGAAAGAACTACATCTCGAGGTTACTCTACCGCTACAAAAACTTCAATTTTCAGGTTTTGGGAGGCATACCTCAGGACACCCAAAACTATTGCTTTCAAGATTGTCATTATTGATCTAAATCTAAGGCGCGAATGATTCCGTTTCCGACAAGACCCCTCCAAAATCTTAAATAGTGTAAGTGAGGGGCCAATTTTAACTTTCTTCCAATCTTTATACCACGGTAGATGACACAGGCGGATCTATGAGGGGAGGAAGACTTTCGAGCTAAAGCCCTCCCCCTACCCAAAATGGTAAGATATAGCTATGTTTTATAGAAAAAGATATTAAAAACTATCGCTTAAAGTATACTCAAAAGACAAGAACTCAACCAACGATACGGCCAGCTATACAGACTACTAAACAGAAAATCTAAACTTTCTATTGAAAACAAATTACTTATCTACAAGACAATCCTGAAACCTATATGGACATACGGATTTGAACTGCAAAATTGTCTAACATCAAACATATTCAATCCTTTCAATCTAAAGTCCTTCGAACAATAGTTGATGCTCCGTGCTATGTAACTAACAAAACCCTACACCATGACCTTAATATCCCATTTGTCCTAGACCTTATTCCAGAAAAATTCTCCAAATTTCACCAGAACCTTACCTATCATCCAAATCCTCTTGCACAATCTCTATCCAGCACCACCCATCCTTACAATCCTCCTCGAAGGTTGAAGCGGCAGTGGCCCAGAGACCTTCTGTGAATAAGCATATATTGGAGTTTTGGCAATAGCCAGATCCTTCATTCAAGCCAAGTATGTGTGATTATAGCGCCACTCCTCAGCCTCTTCTGATTCTTAATACCCGTAATGCGGCTCGGTGCGAGGCGCTGGGATCTCCTAGAATCTTGCCTTTCCTTCCACGAGTGGGGTGAAAGGCTTGGCTCGGAGTTCTTCTGAGTGAATGGATTCTTTAAACATATAGTATTGTGTTTTAGTTGTTATTTTGATGAGGTTAGTTCTTTTGTTAATATACATTTATTTTTATTATTATTAGTTTTTGTATTATTTATTTTTATTTATTGTAAAATGAATTGTGTGAGTGTGCTCTCTGAACACTTTTATAAATGTCCTTGATTGTTACAGAATGTAATATTTCTAAATAAACAAATAAAAAAAAAATCTCTTAAAGTATTGTTGTTCATGTATTTATATTTAATAGGACTTCAAGAATCACTTAAACACCATGTCATGTAGGTAGTTAGTTTCTTTTTTTTTTTTCAAATTAATTATCGTTATATATATGAAAAGCTTTCAGGCTGAAGCCCCCCTCCCAAATTAAATTCTGGATCCGCTAGTGGTAGATGACAATATCACTTGGTCATATCCTTTCTTTTCATACTTTCTAAGTAATTTTAAGGGTCATAACAGGTTCAAACATGATCCAACCACCGTTTTTTACGTTAGATGAATGGGACACAACAAAAATAGATCATCCCTGTCTTGTTCTGAACGTATTAACTTCATTCAAATTTAGTTGATCATATCATTCCTAAAGCTTACTGAAAGCTTTTAAAAATAATTGATATTATTATTTGTTTAACTTTTACAATTAATATGAGCCTAAGCTTCGAAGTAAAAAAGAAAAATCACTGAAAAGTTTGCAGAACAGAAAGATGAAAACTTTTAATGATATTCAACATATAAAAATGTTTCATATTTATTTGAATAGACATTATATAAAATAATTAAAAAACAGTCAGAATTCACATATTTCTTTCTTTAAAACTATAAATCTATAAACAAATTTTACCAACGGTATGATCTATCATATTCTGATGGCATAGAAGGGACACCTTCTACCCTTTGGCCCTATGTTTATTTACACCCTTTACCCGAATGGGTAACCTACCGGGTTTATTTTTATTTATTAAATATTATAATTTATCGTTTCCAAGGAATTAACCATGTTTGAATCTACTGTTATTGTTTTTACTGTACTTTGAAAAACAGAAATGCTGCAGGCAGTATTTCTAATTATAAATAATTCTTATGCCTAAGGTATTCTATTTATTTCCTTTAATGTAGAATAAATATTTAATTATGCACTGTAGAATGCAATCCAATTTTTGACTAGAAATGACTCCCAAACCATCAGATGTCGAGAAGACTGACTTTGTTACTGCCACAATGAGCATTTTTCTGGCTGTATCCCCTACAGCTAGACTACATGTCAGTATTATTATAAATTAATTTTATGTTTCATTGCACTTGAATCATTGTTTGGTGTAAAATATATAAATTATTTTCAGACCCGTTGCAGAAGTTTGAACCAAATGGATAGAGTAGGGCTTAAAAATCCTGATTCAGGGTTGAATGTCCCTTTACAGCAGAGAAGGCATAATTTAGCTAGATCTCAAGTAATTTCAATTAGAATTCTTCATTATTTTAGCTCTTTTTTATTATAACAAATAAATAATTATATTTATATATTATTGTGTTCAGGTGAACAGTTCTGAATACTTTAGTGTCGCATTTGAAATCGATGGTCAAGATGCTTCAGGCCACGAGTTCTTACTAGCTGCTAAAGGAACTTCTCTGGCGTATGTATTCTGTCTAACTGAAGTTTTGATCACATATTTTTCTAATAATCCTTCAAATCTTTGTAACTTAGTGTCATAGAAATTCTGAAATTAAAAGCTTACTTGGTATTCTAGGGAAGCATTAGGTCCTGTCTGTAACAGGAGAGGTATAGAACTCTCAAATGTTGAAGTAATGTTAGAGCAGTACAAAACACCTCTTCCGATCTTAACAACTGATACAGCCTGGTTAGGAGGAAAACATATCTCTCTAAGAGGTAAATCATGCTTTGATATCATTCAAAGTCTTAGCTTATAAGTCGCTGAAGTAATAATATAAACTAGGTACTTTTCCTAAAATTTTAGAAATATTCTTAAAGCACTTTAAATTACTTTTATGTAGAAGATATCTTGGGGTCAAGAGTTTATATACATCATCATTAAGTATAGTTCCTATCATCCTTGAGATTCTGTTCTAGCTCATAGAAAAATAATGTAGTTTTGGACTCTCAAAGTAGTCAGTAAGGTTTAAAATAATTATAATAAACTTTGATCAATTGTTAAGATATTTTAAATATACATGGCTACTGAAACAATATTGTTATTTTCCTTGTTAATAATTTGAGTCACAAAAAGGAATATTCATTGCTATAGTTTTGTATAATCACATCAACCCAAATAAGACTTTCATCCTACTAGAAGGATATTTTAATTTATCAATATTACCTTCTTTTTTTTTTTTTTGGTTTGCAGTTTCCTTATTAGGGTTGAATTATGTAATTTTGTTGTTTACACAATGGAGAATTTATACTGTGAAAAAGTCAATTTAAAATACTTGAAGTAACCTACAGAGGAAACAAAATGATATTTGTAGAAATAATTCACTTTTAAAACATCAGTCTTATTTGGGTGAAACTAACAAAAAGCTGGACACCAATCAATACTTTTATTTAATCTATGAACAACTACATTTTATCGATGAGTAGCTTCTTATTTTCTATTAATAAGTCTATTTCTTCTTATTAAGGTTGGTAAAACTGTTTTCTTTCTTTTTTTTTCTGTAATAGAAGAAAAACAGTTTTACCAATATAATTTTCTGTAAGCAGAACCTATAATTAAAAATTTGAATGTTCTTTTTTTTTTTTTATAGTGAATATTTCTTATAACACTGTAAAAATTAAGTTTGGTTTTTTTTTTTTAGAAAAAGACTCTTCTGAAAGTCGTGGCAATAAACTTTTTAGTCATCCATCCAGAAAAACTTCAAGGGTAAGTTTTGTATTATTTGATAAATTTTAAATATTTTTTTATATTAATAACTTCTATGATATTATTGATATTTAATATTAATTTTTTTTTTCATTTCAGAGCTGTAAAGGTCGAACTAGTTTTTTTAGTGTAAGTACCGAAGAAGGGAATGTCACTTCGGATACTTTACCAACTGAGTCGAAAAGCAAATCTTCTAGACAAAGATGGAGTGGTCTTTTTGGAAATTCTAAAGTATGTTTATTAATTAAAAGATAATTTTAAAATCACGATTTAAAAAAAAAAAAAGCTCATAGCTATAAATATGTGTTTATTGTTGCAGGACAGCAAAATGGAAATGTTAGTTGAAAAACTGAATAATTACAGTAAATTTGGAATACCTCAAGTAAAACGCAACCATGACGAAGATATAGAAGAATGTAAATTTATGTTTTATTTTTTTTACCATCATTTAAAAGTTTAAATCTATATGTATTAAAGAAAGATATTATTCATCCATTGATTTATTAGTTATTATATCTCAAATATTACAATAATTTAAAAAAATACTCATACTCTAAATGGTTAAATTAAATATAATGGAAACCATGCCTCTAATCTTTGTAGTTGCACACAACATCCAAATATAACAAAATAATAATGATAAGTGGTTAAAAAAAAAACTTCCTAATAATTTTATGTTATTTTATTTGTATTATTAAAGAGAGTGGAGTAGTTCAATGAGTTAGGCACTGGGCTGCTAAGTTGAAGGTTCCAGCTTCGGATCCACAACTGATGAAATATTACTTCATATCTGCCGGATTCATCAGCTGTGGATCAACCCTGCGGTCAGGAGTCCTTTTTAGGAGGGGTATACCCAGCTTCTCTAAAGTGGATAATCTTAATTAAATAATTAATTACAGGAAAAAACCTGACGATTGAGCATGATCCTGGCCCGATAACCTTCCTGCACAACCGTTGTCCTTGAAACTGTACTTTCTAACAAAGTACTGAACCCAAAACCCTTCATGGGTTGTAGTGGTACAGGATTTTTTTTTTTTTTTGCATTATTAAAAATCTCTTATATTTAAGTTTTTCTCTTGTCTATTTTAATTATAACACTACAAAAATTAAATACTTCATAAGAAATTCAATTAGCACAACTAATTGTAAGATTCAAAGTTATTCTTGTCATTAACTTAAATTACGAGGATACTTAAATTAAGATTATTGCCAGGATAAATTACAACGTTACAGCAGAAACAAAATGTTTTAGAGTAAAGCCTGGTAATAGTTAGTTAATTATATTTGTTATAGAAAATTTGAAATGTTCATTAAAATAAATAGAAAGAACTTACTAATAGTTAAAAAATTATTTAAGGATTTCTGTCATTTGCTTAAATACTTTTTAGGAATGGAATAATTTTTGAGCAACAAAAATTCCACGTATAAAGCGAATCTCTTCCTAGTTCATATTAATAAATTAAATTGATTGTAAACTAATACTTTTTGTTGTAAATATATTCTAAATTGAATGAAATATCTGATAAATAATAATAACAATACTGATATTAATTAAAATTTAAGAAAAAATAAGAATTATCCGATTTTGTACAAACTTTATTAAGAATATATATGTATTTTTTATTTTATCTTTAGTAAAGTTTTCAAAGTATCACTAAGATTAGTGAGTAAATAATTTATTTGACTTTTAGCTCTTTATAAACTGGAAGATGATTGGAGGGAAATAGTTTCGAAGAAACGGGTGGTATCAGACATTGAGTGCCAGCAGCAAGCGGCCATTTGGGAACTGGTTCAAACTGAAGTTGCATACATTCATACCTTGAAACTAGTCACTGATGTAAGTTTTCAGATTACTAAGTATATTTAATTATTTTATTATAAATAAATATATCGGGAATATATACCATGGAAATATTATATTTTAATTTTAAGTTGTATAAATATCCTTAGAATCATGTAACCAGTGGGAACAAAGAAGCATTACATTCTACATCTGTATTTACACATAATTTTTCATAATCCATCTTTTGAAGGTTTTAAGAAGTGGGTTTTGATAAATTTCAACTTAGTGCCCTCGATCTACAATATTCTTTTGGGCGAGCTATATTCTTAAGACTGTCAAAATACCAACCTGCTAAATTAGATTTTTTTTTTCCTTTATCTAGTAATTAGATTTGTTTAAAATGTATTATCTTGGGTACCTCTTTGCCTTTCTTTTAATTAAGGTCTAGCGTTGTGATAGAAGACAAAGCCTTTCCTACTGATCAATTCTGGCCATTTTTTTTAATCGCTTGCTTCAATCGCACTAGTTGTTTACAGTAGAGAGTTGAATTAATAGTTTGGCCATGGTCGAGAAGCTCATGATAAACAATTCCTTTTCAGTCCCATCAATCACTCAGTATAACCTTCCTTGGCTTGCTTGATCCACGATAATCATTGGTTTAAAAATGGCTCGATTTCGTTTCGTTTTAGCAGGAGTTCACAAATTGAATTTCGGTCCATTAAATTTTTCACTGTTTAAAAAACCCAAGGACGCTTTTTTTGGTATCCAGCCATATGTAAATGGTTCAAAACTGTTTTTTGATCAATGTTTAGTTTCGTAGTAATGTCGCGAGATAAAATATGTTTTGAAGAAATTCATCAACTGTTTCAACGATTGGCCATCCAGGGTGAGGGCTATCGTTAACATCAAAATTTCCTGAATGAAAACGAGCAAACCAATTCTGACAATTTGCTTAAGTACTCATCACCACAAACATTGTACAATTTTCGATGATCTTGCATTGTATTTTTCTTTTTACGAAAGTAATACAGCAAAATATGATGAAAATAACCATTTGCAACCTCCATTTTAAAGCTCAATAACTATTGACTGAGTAAACAAATGATGCTATATATATATAAGCGATTAATTATGATTAATTAATTAATTGATAAATATATATATATATATGTTAGATATATATATATATATATATAGAATGTTCTATGGATTGTGACTTTTCAGATCCACTATAGAATAGCTTCATTGAAGAAGTATTACGAGTGATAAGATACTTTAAAGTCACCTATTGGGATAAAACGAAATTACTTTTTCCTCAATCCAATATAATACTATATGCTATAATCGTATTTGCCTGAAAATATATTATGTTATTATTAACTATATTACAATATACGATATTATCTAATATATTATTATTATCCTGTTTTATATGGCCTAGTTTCTTTTAATCATGAACCCTTTATTTATTTATTTATTTCTTTTTTTGCAGTATTAAGTTGTTCTTTTTCAGTTGTTTCATAAATTTTATCATTATTTTTTTAATTTTAGAGTTATGGTTATTCGTTGATATTGTGCTTACTAACCTGAAAAAGTACATGGGGTCATGATTATTGTTGGTTTGAAACATTACAATTTCTTTTATTTCTACATTAACTAGTATATTCACCATATAATGGAACCTAAAAGTTGGTTCACGCTGCCATTTATATTGATTAATATTTTAAAGATCATTATTCTCCCTATAGTTTCAGATACACTTAAGTTAAGTCGATTTGGAACTTCATGTACAGCGTGATCTATGTGATCTTGATAACCTGTGATCATGTTTAATTCAAAAAATATGTTTTTATAGTTATACAAGTATATAAATATATGTTTAACCTTTCAATTCACTAATTATCGATATTTATAGTTGTTTTTAGCCTGTTTAATAAGCCTTCAGAAAGTTAATCTCCTCCTTGATATCGACAAATCAAGATTATTCAGCAATATTGAAGAAATTTCATCGTGCAATTTTACTCTTTGGTCCAAATACCTATTGCCAATGCTTGCTTGTGCTCGAGAAAATGCAACATTGCTAGATCCTAATATAATTCTGGAAGCGTTCCTTAAGGTATGTATTTTATCTTTCTAATATTAATATAAGATTATTTTAATGTGATTTTATCTATATATATATATATATATATATATATATATATATATATATATATATATATATAAAAGTGAATGTATGTCTGTCTGTCTGTTTGTCCTTTATGCATTACTAAACCATTCATCCGATCGCCATGAAACTTTGGGAAGTTATTCCGTACACTCCTGAGAAGGTTTCAGGCATAGTACTTCTGTCTTACGATAATTTTATGTATGTAAAAAAAATAGAAATGTTTTTCTGTTCAAAGCCGCAAAAAAATGTGTCACTATAAACTGTAGCGCCAAAATGGCTTTAACGATTTTAATGAAACTCGGCTAAAGTCTTCTTCTTAAAACTATTTTAATTTATGTGTATTACATACTTTCCCGAAAACAAGCTGACAAATGTTACGATGAATTCAATATTCTATTTGCCGATAACTAAAAAAGTACACAATTTTTGATTGATAATACCCATATTTATTTGAAAGATTTCTGATTTGCTGACAAAATTAAAAAGATGTCATCGAAACAGATAAGCATTATCTCCGAAATAAAGATATTTCTAGTGGCTGTAGGAGTAAAGTGGGTTAAATTATTTTTTTAAGGAAAAACAAAATTGAGATTTGTATTTCGCACCTTGATAAACCCTCAAATACCAATTTTCACTCGAATCGAAAAAAAAAATTTTTTGTCTCAAATTTTCGTCAAGGGTGTGACCTTCATCATCAAGGATGGTATTAATCCACTCATATGTGCTTTCTATTTTCTTTCTTTTTCATTTTGCCAGCCTAAGCCACAGCAGCGCGTGGCCGGGTAAAGCTAGTTCTAAATAAAAAATAATTAAATTTTAAGCCCTTAATAATGTACATCATGGGTCTCCAAACTTTTTAGCTTGTTGGCCAGATTGAGACCTCCACTAAATCCTGTGAGCCACGACTTTTGATTAAAAAAAAAAACTTGTTCTATAAATGACAAATCAGCATTCGTAGAGAAGATATCTCATGCAACAAATGTAGAATCCATGTGTTTGAATGGTTTATTGAATTACATATTTTATAATAATATTTAAAATTTTACCATGTGATCAAAGAGACTTTCATGAGTCGGATTGGAGGTACTCCTGATTTGGTAGTATGCATGTAGTATGGTGATAACCTCTTTATGTATGAATCTCTGGGGTTTACTGTCTCCATGCGGGAATTGAACACACACCATAGTGGTCTAAGTAGTCGAGTAGGGCCTACACTTATTAATGTTAACTTATTATTAATTTTTTTTTGTTATTATTTCCTGCAAATGGGATTTGAACACTTGATATAAAATTTTTGCTGGCTCCTTAACTCGCTCGATTACCGAAAAAACAAAACTAAGAAAAGATATATATATATATATATATATACATATTTATTTATTTATATGTATGTATAACAAAGGTAAAAAAACTGTAATAAAAACAAAATAAATGTAACTTGAAACGAAATAAAATAATTGGATATATAAAAAAAATTACCGATATTCAATCAAATATTTGTATTTGAAGAAATTAATATTTGTATTATTATTTCTTTGATATAAAATACAATTAATACTCCAAGAATAGTCCATTGTTATCTACCGTCATTAGCCAACTGTTAGCCAATTGCTCGATCCCGTGCTGATTTCTTTCTTTGGGATGGCTGTTAAAAACTCTTGGACAGCAATTTCAACTTCCGCAAAATTATCAAATCTTTTCCCCTGAAGAAAATGGCCATGGATCTGAATATGTAGTAATCCAATGGTGCAAGTTCTGGACTATATGATGCACAAGGCAAGAGTTCAAGCCCATGAAGTTCTTTAAAGTTTTTTGGTTCAACGGGAAATGAGAGGACGATGGCTGAGGAGTAAGTTCGTGAGGGACCAGTCTAGTGGTCTTTTTCATCTTCCCCACAGAGAGTAGATAGCGACTAACAGTATCTTTCGATACACCACATTCCCTAGCAAGTTCCCGAGTACTTGTGGACAGATTTAACTTAACAGGTTCCTGCAGAACCTCGTCAATATCCATCAATGGTCATCCGGAGCCCTCCTTCCTTTCCAAATAAAATAGGAAAAAAAATATAATCAATAAATAGAAATGAATAAGTATATTTAACAAAACTATCGATTAAATTAGAGTTTCAGTGCTAATAAATAATAATTATCTATTGATATATTCTTACATTTTTTAGATGGATTTGTTTAATAACAATAAATTTAACTATTTATTAATTATTTTAAAGTACAATTATTACCAGAGGCCATATAGTTAACACAAATGATTCAAACTATGAAACTATATTCCTTACATAGCCCTGACTTCAGAATCTTCTTCATAAATGTTTGTTGGTACTTTTTTGATTAAGTACCTGTCTAGATTGTTGTACATTTCCTATTTTTATAACTTTCAATACATAAAACCTTTCTAATATTAAATATCAAACTAGATGGTAGCCTCACAGAATAGTGACGTATGGCAGTCGCTATTGGAGGAAGCAGGATTCTTTATGGATTTTAGAGATATCAAAGAAGAAGAATATAAAATAATGTTACAAATGACTAAATTACTGTAAATATGAGTAGAATCATTTGAATATATATTTTTTTTTTTTTCAGCGTTTCGATGTTTTCAGTCCTCTTTTGGAAAAGTTTGTTATTTGATCATAATAAATTCTTCATCTTCTTATTGAAATTTCTTCTTAATTTGATTTATTCATGTTTGGACGATCTGTGGTTCCATACTAGTTTTTCGGTCAAAGTGATGCTTTCATTATTATTTTAAATTGATACATATGCCTATTAATAAATTATTTATATTTAAAACATCTTCTTATTATTTCTTTTTAGTGTGAAGAATTGTTTGGACCTTATGTTGTCTATTGTTCAGAGCAGAGTGAGTGTCAGAAATACTGCAGAGAGAAAACTGGCTCAAATGAACTTTTTACGGCTTATTTAGCTGTTCGTAATATTTTATCATACTTTTTTTTAGATATTTACACATTTAGATTATATACATTTCGAAATCATATCACTTTTATATATAGTTATTCTTATAATTATTAACTTACCTCATTTAACTAAAAAAACAAAAACAACCTAATTTTCAGTGGTGTGAAACACAGAAGGATTGCCATCGTCTTAGACTTCTTGAAATGCTCGTAAAACCAATGCAGCGATTGACAAAGTACTCTTTACTCCTTAAAGCAATATTAAAACATACCACTCTTCCCAAGCAAAAAGAAAATATTGAATTAATGGTACGTATTGTAACATATCTCTTATATTTTAAAATAATAATAATATAACCTCAGAAGACCACTTTATACCCTTAGGATACTTCTAAAAGAAATAAGAGGTTTTTGAATAATAATAAAAATTATAAGAGTATTATTATATTTATTTATCTCAGGTGTGGGTTACTGACAATCAGATCAACTCAGACAAACTATTATTATTTACACTATTTATACTAAAATTAAACATTGATTTTATAATAACGTCAAGTATGGATTGGCAAGCTAATCTTTTTTATATATACACTGTTTCTTCTCTTGTTGCACTGAATTCATTTGCCTTCAAATACTTTCCAAAGTTCTGCCAAACAACTCTTCCAAATTGGTAACACTATTACTGGGTTTTACCCACTAGAGCCAGAATCACTTCTCCTATCCTCTCTTTTCTCCAGCCAAAAATCAACCGCTTGCCAAAACAAAAACCTGTGTCCCTCTCCTCTTTTGGATTTTCCTTCTTGAGAAACTACAGAGCAGCCATCTTCTTTTCCCTGCACTAGTAGAACTAGATTAGCTTGCCTTTTAACTGTTATATCAATTTATTAAACTATTTTTAACAACTTCCAATAAAGGTGTATATTACAGTATTTATTTATGTTTTTATTTTTAACTTTTACAACATTTGATTATTTAAAGAACCATATGGGACTTAAAGCTTTTATTTCTATTATTTTTTTTATTATGATTTTGAATAGCACTACTTTAAATATTTTTTATTATTTCTGTTTTGTCTTTCTCGGCTGAATGTGAGTAAGCTTTATACTCCTGCAGGAGGTTAATAAAATTTTTTTGCTCAGACAGAGTGACAGCCGATTTGGAAAACCCAGAAAAATTGTTTTTTGTCAGAGAATTTTTCAGTACATAAATATTTTTTCAAATTGGAAATAAATATGCAGTGGATACCATTAAGATGATCTTGAACTCCTTCAATTTATCCCTATAAATTCCGTCGTTATAACATTCATCGAAAGCTGATTGTTATAACAATACAATCACGCTATAAACGCTATATCCGATCATTTTTTTCTAAAAAAAAATGCCTGAGTGCCCAGGTAATCATTCTACCCTCACCTTGTTAGCACTACAAAGATGGTTAAGATTGCCTTTACATTCATCCACAAACTTTGAGCGACTTGCATAACTATTCAGGGTCCCAATTGCCGCTTGACTATCCATATATATTGTTATCAACCTATTCACAATGCCCTCCTTAATATGTGATTGAGCACAGAAATCAGTGGCTAAAATCTCAGTTTGAAACACTGGCGCATATCTACCTGGAGACATGAATATTTCCTCATAAGGTTTATCCTTTATCCAGATGCCAGCCCTTGATCCCTGCTCCAATTAGGAGTCGTCGGTATAATAGTTACGGTATAATATAGTCCATTACATAGTCTATGTGAGTTATTCCTGCTTATGTTCAAATTATATAGTATATCTTTATAACTATCGACTTGAAGGTCAGAGTTCATCGCACGTACCTCATTGCTATCAATCCTACAAAAACGATCCCATGACTCTGAGACGTCAGAAATTTCAATCTTGTTCCCAATTTATCCAATCTATAAGCTGTTCTGAGAGCATGTGCTTCCACCTCTAAATGGAATGGTGTCAGATTGATATTTAAAAGATTGAATGGTTTTTACTCAAATCATTTTGTCGTCATTCGTGTATAAGAAGGGAGAGAGGGGTAGTTCAGTGATAAGGTACTGAGCTTCCAATGCTAAAAGTCCCAGGTTCGAATCCCGGCTCATGGCAGAATCATTATTTATTCTGTTTCATCGGCCATGGGATGACCCTAGGTAGATAGACCCCCCGAGGCACACCCAGCCTTTATAAAGTGGGTACCTTTAATTAAAATTAATTAAGGGGGAAATCTGGTGGTTGAGCGTGATATCGCTCAAATCACCTCCTTGCACAACCGTAGACCAAGAAACAGTGCTTTCCCTAAATAGTACTGAACCCAATACCCTTCATGGTTTGTAGTGGTACAGTTTTTTTTTTTTTTTTTTTTTTTTGTCATGTATAAGAAATAAATTTAGTTATAATAGTGGATTGATAGTTGTCTCGTAGATATTGTGGGGACCATGTTAAAGTAACGAATGAATGTGAAATGTTAAACAGGCTTCACTTCGTTACTTTAACATGGTGCCAACGATATAATGAAGAGAAGTTAGTTAAAAATTATACATTATTAATATTTGTGTCCTCCGATATATTGGTCAGGGAAAACTATCATTAACTTAGAAAATGTCAGGGAATTTCGCTTTAACTTTCTTGGAGCCACGCTTTCAGAATCGTAAATTTACATTTGCATTTTAAGTTTTGGATATCAAGGAAAAAAAGGATAGTTAATCAAATTTTCACTATTAATTAATATAAAATTTCCATAATAATTGAAATTACTAAGATGTTATACTTTTATAAATTATAAAAATGTTTTACTCGGTAACTCTTAGTCTGCCATTTGGTAAACGTAAGTATTGGTTATTAATTTCACATTACCTACGGCTCTATTTTAATTTTTAACTTTTTGTTGTAGATTGAACGAATCGATTCTTTTGTAAACAATGTCAATACAACTCTGAAGCAAAAGGAAGACATTGAAAGCCTACGAAATATCATGGCGAGGATAGAGTCTTATGATGTTGTGGTAATGGTTTTCTTTATTTATAATGTGTGAAGAATAAAACCGACCACTGTTTGAATAATCTGTTTATTTTATATATTAAAAGAACATTTCATGAAATAATTATTTCCAAAAATTTTGTTATTTACTTTGTTAGGATGTGCCGCTGTCAAATCTACGCCACACAACCCTTATAATAATAATAATAATATTAAATGCTTAGTGAACCTGGAGGTTCGATGCTGACATTACCAATCGCTTATTACACACCTCCCTCCACTGTTCGCTGTCCAAACCCAGTCCCTTCAGATCAGCTTCTTCAATCTTCCCACCTTCGCTTCGGTCTATCTCTCGGATGTTTACCATTCGGTACAGTAAATATCAACCTTTTAGGAATTCTTTCATTACTAAGTCCAAGTTTACAAGCCCATTTGATTTGCAGTGATGTAATCACCTTTTTTATATTTACTGGGTACAGTTCGCACTACTCGGCGTTGTACAACCTTCTGAACTCTCCGATTAACTCATCTTTTTTCGGTCAGAATATTCTACGCAATACTTTATTTTAAAAAACAAACAGCAAACAATGTGTTCTTGTATAGATACAAGTAAAATTTTGTTCCTCTGGGACTGGTTACACAGTGCAACGGTAGAGAGTTACTGCACCTGTGCACTCGCGTGACAGTAGTTCGACTCGTCTCATCCAGTCACACAAGTGCAAGTAGTAAGCATGAAAGTAGACAGCTACTGCGTCTGTGTACTCGCATCAGTTTTTGCAAATGTTGTAGTAGACAGACTCCTGTATTTACTCCTTTATGTGACATTGTGTGAGTGAATGAGAAGGAATATATAGGAATGTGAGGTTGCACGATGAATTGTACTCAATTATGCAGTGGACAAATTATTCATGGAAATGTCTCATATCGATAAACAATCGATGAAGAAGGACAACAGCTGGCAGAAGGACAATGGGAAGAGCACTTGAGGCTAGGACACGGAGGAGAGAGGATGCTAGGCCTGGAAAGGAGGTTGTCAGAAGAGAGAGATAATACATTAAAAACTAAGAAATCAAGCCTATAGTTATAAGACTTTTATACATCCATTTATTACAGTTGTAAAATAAATTCTTTTATTATACAGGATTGAAAAGTCATTTATTTAATTAGTTGTTCTATATGCCTCACGATTGAAGAATAACAAACCAGGTGAGTCAATTCATTCAAAGTGTTATTACTAAGTCCCACATTTCATATATATATTCTTATTGTTTCTTCTCACTCAATGTCACAAAAGGTATTAGGTTCCCGAATTCCCAACAACAGCTAAACACCCTCTAAAAGTCTATCCAGTGCCGGCGTTTTGTTTTAATAATCACGAGTGTAAATAACCTAGTTCCTCGATATAAAAGCGGAAGATTATTTACTATTCCCGTCAAAACAAATTATTAAAATTTAACTCTTATTAGGTTATTTACAAAGGTTTGAATGTAAATTACGAAAGTATATGTTATTGTAAGTAAAATGAAGTTTGTCTGCCGTTCTAGAGCCGCTTATTTCAAAAGTGGCAACTGACTTAAAGAATATTTGGCTAGTAACTTGAGGATCGAAACAGGAAATCCATTGCGAAAAATGTGAGAAAAGTTTTTATTTTCTTAACTTGAATATGAGGGTTTAATCATGTAAAAAACAAAATTTCTAATGTGGGCCACCAAGAGAAAACTTTTTACAGCCAAAAAAGTAAAATGTTTTTGATCTTTTTTTGTTTTTTCACCTATAGCTTCTAAGCAATGCATCGAAGCAAAAAATATACTCTTTAAGAAATTAAAGAATGTTAAACTGTACATCGAAAGAGTACCTAAATCTAATAATTTGATTAAGTGGTATGGTGGAAAATCATGGGCAACCAACGCTGATTTTTACCAAATTTGTCAAAAACTGAGAAAAATGACTATAAATGACCTTGGAAATGAGTTCTCTAAGAGGAAAAACCCATAGAAACAATGTTTTAGAACATCAAATTTTGCGTCCACTGAGTTATAACATTTTTATTTTAGGTCAATTATATATCTTCAATCGGGATTTGTTATTTCTTCATTAAATTCGGTATCTTTCGACACATTGTTTCTCAAAATCCATTGCTGCTGAGTGGCTTATACTGTACGTAATAATAGGCTCTGAACAAGAACAACTCACTAGAATAGATACCCATACTGTTTAAATATTGAAAATCATACATACCTTCACTACCAATTTCTAACAATCAGGAGATTACCGATTTTGTTCAGAGTAAGTGACCTACATTAAAACAGTTGGTATTTGGTGGACACAAAATTTTATGCTCTACAACTTTAATTCTATAGGTTTTTGCTCTTAGGGAACTCATTTCCAAGCTTTTTGACAAATTTGGTAAAAATCCGCGAGGTTTTCTACCATACCACCTAATCAAGTTATTACTTTTAGGTACTCTTTGGACGCACAATTTAAGGTTCTTTAATTTCACCAAGGGTACATTTTTTGTTTTGATTCATTGTTTAGGAGCTATAGGTGAAAAAAGAAAAAAAAATAATGAAAAAATCTGACATTTTTGGCTATAAAAAGTTTTCCCTCTGTGGCCCGCTTTTGAAATTTTTTTTTACATGTCTAAACCCACATATATAAATTTAAAAAAATAACTTTTCACACATTTTTTGCAATGAATTTCCCATTTTAATCAAAATGTTACTGGCCTAATATTCTTTAAATCGGCTGCCATATTTGAAAGCAGTGGCTCTGAAACGGAAGGTAAACTTCATTTTACTTACAATAACATACACTTTTGTAATTTACATTCCAACCTTCGTCAACGACCAGGTCGATTTTTGGGTCCTGGCTCCTGCTGGGCTGCTACAAGGACGAGTAGGATTACTTCCGTTGTTGTTTTTTTAAAATTATTTTTCTTTTCTTTTTAAGTTAGTTTCTAATAGATTATTATAAATTTCTTCAGAACATAAATTTTAATGTATAAAATTAAACTTCAAATTTTATTCAATAGTTTATTTTTTTTCGACTTCAGGAAACCAAAGATGAGGATTTAGAGAAGTTGATAAAACCTCACAATGAATTAGATCTCCAGAAACCGATGCCAGGATGTAATCCTCTTCATAAAAGACAACTCATTGCGGAAGCTGATTTAAAACTGAAGGATCACAATAACAGCAAGGTATATTAATATATTAATTATTATAAAAAAAATTTATTGCAGTGTTTTATATTATTGTCTAGTCTTATATTGTTTATGAACTGCACAGGCTTATCATAGATGAACTGGTGATCGGTACTCCAACTTTCACTGTTGTTCATCTAGGTACTTGTTAAATAGCGGGTAGCGTCCGACTGCTATCTGCCAATGTTTATAACCTTACTGATAACTCTGATAAGCCATTGATAATATCTTTGTATTTATATTTATTGTATTATATTCATGTTATTATATCTTCATATTCATATTTATTGTATTCTATTGATATTATTGTTGGTGGTGTCGGCATCGAACCTTCGGGTTCGCTAAGCCTTATTATTATTATTATTGATATTATTGAAATTGTAAACAAAAACAAAAACAAATGTAATTTAAAAAAAAAAAAAAATTTTGTCTTACAAGATATATATTAAATAGACTTGTGTGTATCTAGATGTGATTCACCTTGAAATGATTATACTTTGCTTCATTGAGTTGTTTGGTGTTGTATCCTTTCCAACAGTCAGAATTAATGGTGCTTCCCTCTTGTACATTGTTTTTAATAGCTTCTAATAAAAATTGTTGCTTTTCTGTAATTTATTTTGATGATAAACACTCGTCTGCTTTTCGGCAAGCTCCGCCAAACATCCATTGCTCAGGTAGGACTCTTCCTACATGATTTTTTCTTTTAGAAAAAAGACTTGTCTACTTTAACGACTTTGCCAGGTCCTCCAATTTTTTTACTTGACCTGTATGGGCACAAACCTCTCTTAAAAATTTGTTCCAAGTTACGATAGTTGCCTGGGATAGTTTGAGCTGCTCTTTCCCTTACTCTAACTCACGGCTTACTCAAGGAACAAAAAACAAGCAATGGAATAACTTAGGTTAGAGGAGATAAGAAGAGAGGTTATGTGTAATAAGATTAGATAACAAAGGAGATTTCGACGCTACCCGCTATTTAACAAGTACCTTCATGTATCCAAGTATTCATAATGTAATGTCTTTATAATAAAATTAAACATGTTAGATCTTAACTCAAATTAATTTACTAGGTACGAGCTAACTCAAGTGTACACAGCACCACGCATTGCCGGGCAACCTGATAACCAAAATTATAAATGATAAAATAATTACAAGCCAGTACCAAGGGAGTCTTTTAACTTGGCATTAATCCCCCGCCCTCATCCCCTGGTCTGGAAAAAGGCAAGGAAGGGGAGAGCAAAAAGAATAAGAACTCAAATTAAGTTATTGAACACGATTATCACAAACTTAAACTTGTGTGTAATAACAACTCTCTATCCAGGTTATTCTGCTGTTATTCCTGACTCACAATCGACACATCTCGTTGATATATCAAATCAATAATAATCGATATCCCATTTACCACACATAATAAATATAATATCATACAAAGTATTTCCAAGGAATAAATTATCCTTTGACTTCCTCCATTTATTTATATCATTAAAAAAAGTTTAAAGCTAATTATCTCATTCTCAAGTTATCTATAAAAAGCCAAATATGTTGTTAAGAAATGATGATTTTTTTTTTTACTCTCTGTTCTAGGTGGAAGTGCATTGTATAATTCTTACTGATATATTACTTCTCTGCAAATTAACACGAGGATCGCATCTAAAAATCATCCGACCACCTTATCAAGTCCACAGGCTTATCATCGAAGAGCTATCAAGGGATACTCCAACCCTAGCTGTCGTTCACCTATCAGAGTATTCAACACCAATGGCTGCTTTTCTTTTGACATCGTCTGATCCAAAAACTATTAAGGTAGTGCATGAATTTAATATCAATTATCTATGTTGTAACATCCTTCTTATATTTTAAAATAATAATAATAATAATATAACCTCAGAAGATCACTTTATACTCTTAGGATACTTCCAAAATAAATAAGAGGTTGTTAAATAAAAAACAAAATTATAAGAGTATTAATATATTTATTTATCTCAGGTGTGTGTTACTGACAATCAGATCAACTCAGACAAACTATTATTATTTACACTATTTATATTAAAATTAAACACTGGTTTAAAAATAAAGTCAAGTATGAATTGACAAGCTAACCTTTTTTCCTACATACAATGTTTCTTCCTTTGTGGCACTGAACTCATTTGTCTTCACATATTTTCTTATTTTCTGCCAAACACATATCCCAAAATGCTAACACTATTCTTCCACTCAACTCAAGCTCTCTGGAAAATCCTCTCTCTTGCAATTCCAAACAACTATTCTCTCTGCCAAACAAGATCTTCTAAGATGGTAAAACTATTACTGTGTTTTACCCACTGGAGCCAGGATAGGGGGTTAAGTTTTTGAATTTTTTGGTCGATCACAATGGTTGATTATTGTTCAATTCTTTCAAAATTCTTTCAAGTATTTTAAAATGCTTATTTTCAAAAACTACTAAAAACATTGTAGAATTATAAATATTTATTTTTATTAATTATTATCATCTCTTACTAAAATATATATATATATATATATATATATATATATATATATATATATATATATATATATATATATATATTAATTTCCTTTTTTCTAATTACTGTATATTTCCAGAACTTTGCAGTTAGTTTACGCCGAGCAGAAGGCCTTTACAATACCGCAAAACAGGCTAGTGACGATACCTGGCGAGTTGAACCAGATTCGAGGTAATTATTTCTTCATGGAATACATTATAAATTAGAATATCTGAACAACAATAAAGATTAATACATCCCGTCATCTGATATAAATATTAGAACAGCAGTATATTAATTGAAATATTCCATAATTTGAAGATGTCTAAAAATTTCCTACGGTCAATCACTTAGTCAATCTTTTAGATAGATAGATAGAAAGTAAACTTTATTCTGGGACGAGGTCCCTTATGAATAATAGTTATGAACAAAAAAATAAAAGCTACATCTGGCCAAAAATTACATTAGTCAATATTAAAGAAAACATACAGTATCTCAGTAAAAGTATATTAAAACAAGTAAAAATAACACCATTTTGAAAAACCAAAACAAAGCATTATTTAAATGAAAAAAAAAATAATGTAAGCATGGGTTGATTTTAAAAATTAAATTGGTAGAGATGATATTTAAATGAGGACAAGGAAGAGGCATGTCGGATATCAGATGGCAAGGAATTCCAGAAGGCAGACGATCGGGCAATAAAGGAATATTCAAACGTCTTAGTTCTATGGGAAGGGATATAAAGATCGGAAACACGGCATCTTGTTTTCTGGGAGTGAACCACGGGTTTAAACTGTAGGAGACTATAGATGTAGGAAGGGTGTCTGGTGTTGATTGTTTGGAATAGGAAAGATCGAAGGAAATATTGTCTGCGAAAATCAAATCTTAACAGAACAGTTAAAATAATGCCTATTATTAACATTGGTATAAATTCTAAAATTGTCAACAAAACATATAAACAATCACAATAAATACATTTTGTTCTCTAAATATTATTCCTTTAACTGCTAACGGCAGCTATAGCTGCTGGAACAGAACGTGTCCCTGTTGCTAATGATGGCTATAGTTGTTGCACCCCACTCCTGCCCTCAGTGCGAACGTCGTCTTTAGACGTTCCACTGCTTTTTCTTCCATTTGCTAATGTCGTGTATAGCTGCCACGACCTTGTTACATTTCTCTTACCTTTGTGAAGTCTTGCCTTCAAACTATTGTATATTAGGCATTTGAATAATATGTGATGAAAAATCCGATCCGGCAGTCTAATTGAAGTTCTTATTGAATTGATTTTATGAAATGAAAAGACTGCAATCAACTGACGATATGGAGAATCATTAAAAGAAAAGGAAGATTTTTTCACAAATAAATGAAAATTATTCTGATTGTTTTTATTCATCTAAAGATGTTTTAGGAATACAAAAATGTTTAACTGTAATTTTTTTTGTTAAATTCATGTTTCTTACATATTTTTTCCTATCATCCAAAATATTTCATAATTCAATCTCACTCAAGTCACAATCCTGCCAAGAGGAAGTCTACTGCCATGATAATGGTGGACGAGATTTTCTAGTCTAATATCTGCAAATTTTTTATTTCTTATTATGATAAAAGCTTCCTGTTTATTTTCTTCAGTTTTATCAGTAAATACCGAGATAACTATTTTATTTTTAAAATAATGAAGCACAAATGCCGTTTTAGCGGAGGATGCAGTAGTTCAATTGAAATGGTAGAAGGCTGTTCTCCGATTAGCAATGCTTCAAGGGGCCTAAGCGTTGAATCAGAAGTTCGCCCTCTCTCGCACAGTTCTGACGAAGCTCTCCCTCATACGTGAGTATTTAAATATTTAAAAATGTAGAAAGAATGAATAATATTGTATTAGGTTGGCAAATAAGTCCTTTCAGTTTTTATATCACTATCAGATATACTTCTTATCTGATGAATTAATCCCTAAAGTGGATTGTTTATCCTTCTTGTAATATGTCAACAACTATATCTGCTAACTCTTGTTGAAACTAGCTTAATATTGTGGCTGATATTGCACTGTGAATATGGAAGAAAATATCAATCATTATCGGCATATTTTGTTGTATTATTTCAAAAAAGATAAGCGTGCTGCAGAAGCTCATAGAAAAATTTGCAGTGTTTATGAGGATGATACCTTAATCGAATGCGCTTGTCAAAATTGGTTTGCCAAATTTCATTCAGGAAATTTGGACATTTATGATGCTCAACGGTCTGGTTGCCCACATGAAATTGAAACGAGCAATGTTAAGGCCATTATTGATCGAAATCCCATCCAATCAGAGCGAGAGATTGCTATGGCCCTTAAGGTGTCACGTAGAAAACCATTTGCACAATGTTTGAGTCCTTCACATGATTTTTTTTCAAAAATTACTAAAATGTTATAATTTCAATACGACTTTATCTATCTAAAAGGAATTTAGGGCCACATAAACTACACAAAATGACATCAACAGGACCTTCGTAAACAAACTACAAATGAAGATAAAAAATAAAAACCTAAAAGGAGTTTTTGTTAATTTATTCCTTATGTAGGCATTAAATCAAAAAACCATTCATACGGCTTTGAAGAGCAATTATTCAGCTTTCCAACGGATATAGTAACATCGAATTTGGAGAACATCCTGAAGAGTTATGAATGATCGGAAGGGTGTTGTGTTCCACCAAGACAATGCTAGGCCCCATATCTCATTGTTCACTTTATGAATTATTGAGCTTTGGATGGGACCTTTTGCCCCATCCTCCCTATTCACCAGACATAACTCCACCACGTATTCCGTTCTCTGCAGAACTCTATGAATGGAAAGAAATTCCAAAAGGAAGAGGACATCAAAGACCACTTGGATCAGTTTTTTAACAATAAAATCCAGACATTCTATGAACATGACATTATGCAGTTAGTGAAAAGATGGGGAAAAGTCATATTAAATCATGGTCAATATATTGTAGATTAAAATAAATTTTATGTCTATAATACATAAATAATACTATAATACAAATAATAATACTAGTTTTATTTCACCCTAAAAAACCAAAAGGACTCATTTGCCAACCCAATACATTTATGCATCTTTTTGTCTCAACAAAAAATAAATATTTGCTTTATCATTATGGGTTATTTTCATATACAGCGGCTGTTTGTAATCAGAGCAAGATTCAACATAGCTTGTTACAATACTTGAGAATACTTATGTTGATTAACCAATTTTAGTTTCCTTGAAAATTCCAAGAGGGAGTGGGGTAGCTTAGTAAGATGCAGAGCTCCTAATCTCAAGGATCCAGATTCGAGTCCGGCTGAGCACCATTTCTATTCAATTAATCTTGTGCTGAATTTAAATTGCTTTTTCTATCTGTGAGCACCATTGCATGGCTTTCATTTTCATTGCTGATAATTTTATAGTTTAATTTTAAAATGTCTAATGGTTATACTATTTTAGGCAAGATACTCTGCGTGTAATCGTGCCTCAGCTCGGTCAGTCGCTACCTGACCTGAAGGAGGCCGGTAGGAGGTGGCTGGCCCCACCCCCGCCGACGCCGCCTCGAGGCGTGTCCTATCCACCTCCGTCTCCTCCTCTGCGCAGGACTCACGCTATTAGGCATAATACCGTCGGCGATCAATAAGGAGAATGTTATGCACTTTTGCTACGAATGGTTTTTAATATTAAATTAAATTTTATTAATTGTGATTTTAAAATTATTTATTTATTAATTCATCAATTACCTTAGTAATTAATGAATAGAATTAATTACATATAATTTAAAAAGTGAGTAATTTAAAAGCCCCATTGATGGTTCACTCACATTCATTAAACCAGTTTTATAATTTATGTCGCTAATTTATCATTTAGCCTATTTAATCAATCATTTAAACTTAGTTAACAATAAATTAATTTAATTTTTTGATGATATACTATATACAAGAAGGATAATTATACGGTTTTTGAAAAAATTATTTCTTTTTCCTGGGGTAAATATTTTATTATTTATATAATTTTCTAGTCACATCCTTCAGGTTTGGTGCCATTTTCTCATAATTTTTTTATATATATTTTAGGCCAAAGGTCACCAAATATACACAGTTTTTTATATCCTGTATTCTTTATTCGACGTTTCGGTTTCAGGAGCCTTTTTGAAGATCCTGCAAAGCATGCACCGCCCCATAATTTTTTTTTTTTTAAATCTATCATTGCAATATGGTTCGTCCTTTAGTCATTCTTTTATTTCAAAGAACGTCGGTTTTTCACTTCTCTTTCGCAGAAGAAAATTGTGGCTCCTCACTAGGGCAGTCATACAGGACTCCTATATAGAGTCCTATATTTATTTAAAATGTTTTTTTTCTTCAGTCAATGACAGGAAGTTAAATTACATTGGCGATTACTAACAAGCCGTATAAATTTTACAACTTTGACTTCTAAGTTGTAAAAAAATATTTTGCATACAATATATGTATACATCATATTGAATCTTGATGTACAACTAAAACTTATAAAAGATTTGCAACAAGTCAATTTAAAGTTAGTAATATATATGTATATCTATTTTGGAAGGTAAGCAATTTTTGTCAAATTTAATTTAAATTCAGTAATTACAATTCTCAGCTTAATTTAATTTTATTTTATATAATTTCTGAACCATTGTACAATGTTGAATAGTTTTTTAACCCCATAAGCCAGAAATGGCAACTTAGGGAAAAAAAAGAGTATTGGATCGTTTTGAATTTTAAGACTATTTCTGGATCTTTCCATTTCGTATTAAGCCAGTTACTTGAGCAGTATTTTTGGATTTTCTTAATTACGTGAAGTAATGTAACATAATATACTGAACATATTCCATATCCAGAATCAATGCGGCATATCACAATTGCCGTATCTCCATTTGCGATATCAGGCCAAAACAGTGGTCACATTATGTGAATTCGTATCGATCTCTTAAGGCATCTATAACAATGTTATGTGTTGAATATAATCTATTATTTAAATATAATTTTTAGTCTTTCTCCTTTTCATCGTGATGTTTATTTTATTTATTCAAAATTTTTTCTTTTCCATGGTCAAATTTTTCTTCCAAATTTGAATGTGATAAGGGCCTCCCTTACTTAAAGTTATTTAAGTCAATATCTCTAAGATGTTATCTTTACAGATACTTTAGAAATAAACAACTCATTTATTACTTATAATAATAATCAGTTGCTAAATAATAATATAAAAGGCCCATATTTCTCTTGAGGATATATTTATATAACTTTAGTTTTTTAATTAACCAAATAAGAATTAAAACAAAAAAATTGTGCATTTTATCTTTCAAGAATATTAAAGATCCAATTTGGTAATGTTTAATTAAATAAAAAAAATAAATTAAAATTGAGAAGAAATGAGTCGATATTGAACGATTAATTAATAATTAAAATTTATATCGTCCTTTAATAAATTAAGATCTATTTTAAAACTGTCGACTGCAATGTCATTTGTGCCATTAAATCTGTTTCTTTATTATAGATATATGAGTCATATTTTCTATTCATTTTTTTTTTTTTTTTTAATGTGTAAGTCAAGAAGTAAGAACAAAATCAGAAAAGAAACAAAAAAATAATGGTTATATTCTTGAAATAAGTAAATACGAACAAAAATTTCTCTTCTAGTAATATTTTGTGCGAGTGCCTAATTCTTTCATGTATACAGTTATCGATATTAGATTTTAATCCTTATTTCATCTTTCCTGCGTTTAAATAAAAATGTTTGTTTTAATCATATAAATATATATTTAAAATACGATTAAATATACTGCTGATCTCACACATAATAATATGTATAAATGTTTGTGTCTATTTGAAAAAAAAAAACTGTGATACTGTTTCCATCTGTAATACAACTAATGTAATATATTTTATTACCGACATTTTCTTATATTTGTTGCAATTTTATTCTCTACGACTCTGTATAATGATCTCATTTACTTAATCGCATTTATTTTTAGTAGCTCAAACCTTTTTATAACTAATTTGAGCTTAAATTAAGAAAATAAAAGTCATTAATTTTCGACTTCAAGATATTTGCTAATCTTATTACTTTTTTAAGTTTTCTGTACAAGTTGAAATTATGTAATATATTCCTATGAAACTAATTTATTCTATTATTTATGTATATTGGTAGGATTTAATTTTATTAAATAGTTTTAAAATGATATATTTTTGGCCAAAGTTCAAAAATGTTGTTACCATTTAAAAATACATCAATAGTTTTCTAATATAAAAAGGTAATTATAGTTGAATCTCTCATGTTGAGCTTGAAAGTTTCTTTAAAAAAAAAAAAACATATGTTAAGAACTGTAATTTTTCATTATTAATAAGAATATGTTTATTGTGGACACTAAAAAAAATATAGTTAAATTTTAAGACATTTTTCTAAATCTAAAAATAAAATATTAGCAATCGAATAAATATGTCTCAGTTTTTAAAATGTCTGGGGATAACATTGAAGTTGTTTCAAAGTATTAGTAAATTTTATTTAAATATAAAAATGTGTTCAGGACTTAGATTTCCAAAGACTTGTTTTGTTAACGTTATATTTTTGTCTTATTTACATTATTCTTAATAAATACATATTTCATTTTTGCGAAGTTTTCTGATTAATTTATACAATCTATATTTTTTAAATAAGAATTAAAAATGTCTAAAAAGTTATATATCACAAGAATGTTAATGTACGGAAGTTCAATATATGAGGATTCAACTTAATTAAGTACAAAATACTATTTTTAATTGTAACTTGTTATTTAATATTACAACAAATTAAATAAATCATGAATCAGCTTAACAACTATTTGTTTAGGACATCATTTAAAAAAAAATCATTTTGTACAATTAAGGACATTTGTGTATACTGTAGTTAAATATTACGCAGAAATTATTTATATAATCCTGATGAATAGCATATTAAAGTAATGCTAATAATTTATTATTCCAAATTAAACAAAATATATTTCTATATTTGTTTATTGAAGCATTTATAAACTACATGCATGTTAATCATCAGGTATGTTAACGCTATTTTGTTACTTTTTTTAATTTATTAAGTTATCTACTTAGTTACGGAGTGTTTTAATTTCAAATGACACAAGATACAACAAAAAAATTCGTTTTGTGATAAATTTTACTGTTATTATCTTCTAGTCTATTTTATGTTTTATTATTTGTTATTTTAGTAATTCTTCTGTCGCTGTTATTAATGGTTCGTAATAAACATTGGAACTTCCATTCAACCTGGATGTAATACTGCTGTTTTTTGTTTTTGTTTTTCAATTTGTCAATTCAACGAGTCGAGAGACAGCATTTTTAGGTATAAAAACAAAAATCAAATTTTTATATATTTCTAATCAGTCAGAAGAATTTTTGTTGTTTATTTTTATTAATTGTCTATTTATTGTGGAACATTTGTATTATGATATAATAATTTTAATGTAATTTAATAGTGTGCATAATTATTTAAATATTCTTAAAAATTCCAAAGATGGTTTTATATGAATATTTGGCAAATTTTTTTTATTAATTCATTTATTTATAAAATTATTTATATTTATATAATTTTATTTAAAAGATAAAAACATCCAAAATACCTTTTAAATACAATTTTTTTAAAAATAATAATCATTATATCTATATTATCTGTTTTTAAGCTAATTTGATAACATCTTTAATTAAATAAAATTTAAATATTAATGTTTAATTTGTTGATCTGTAACTATTTTTAAATTGAAAACAATTGTTTGTATTAATATTAAAAAATAGTTGAATATGCCTATTACTATATTATGTATAGTGAAGTTGACATAATGAGAAACTGGTTAATTTCTTGTATTCAATGATTTTTTATATAAATACAACAGGGATCCATTAATTTTCCCTATTGTTTGATTACATAAATTTTAAGAGAATGCTCCCAATTTCTTCTTATAATAAACAATTAAAGACTGAACATGAAATTAGTAATGAGAATTTATTTATTTATTAAATAATTAGAAATTATTTATTTTATTCAAAATTCGGAAGTAGAATTATGTTGTGTAAACATTTATTTCATATTAAAGTTAACTCTATTGTTACAAATGTTCCACAGTATTCGTTACCGATCAGTATTTTTAGTTTAGTATATTTATTTCTATGCTTAATTTAAAAACTTTTTATTGGCTTTAATTTATATATTTTAACTTTTAATTTATTCATTGAAATTCAACTAATTTCAATTTTAAATTTTTACTGTATACATGTAAGTTTAGTCATGTATTTTGCCTTAAAATAAAGAAACAATAAAAACTGTCAATTTCTTGAACAATATGTATAAAGAACTGACATACAACATTTGTAAATATATATAGAATTTTATTTACACTTAAAAGATAAGTTGCTATTATATAGAATTGGTGGACCAGTACCTATCTTTTGTATGAATGTCAATATCCTCGTATATTTGTAGGTAAACTATATTTTAAAAATTAAGGCATATCTTTAAGCTTCGTTAGATGACGGTTTATAATGAACAATTAAATAATATATTCCTTAAACTAGTCTATTGAAACACGATTTCAAAAATTAAAAAAAAAAAAAAAACTTCTATGGTCTGTGTATA